AGTATTCTTCGCTACGACTTCTGAAGAGTCAGATGAAGACAAACCAACAATCTGACTTTGCCCTTTCTGAGCTGCTGAGTATCCGTTGATTTGATTGCATTCTTGGACTCACTGTTCATGGCTATTCCTTGACGTGTGACCCTGTTTGAGATGTGTATTGCGGTATATATTATGGGTTTGCTTCTGCTTTTGAAGAGTCAGGTGAAGTTTGACCCACATTCTGCTTATTCTGAGCTGCGTAATACAATTCGGAGAAGAGCTCCAGACAAAGCTGGAGAGCATGTGTCCACCCGTCAGAGCTAAAGCTGGAGGTGAATGGTTGGTTGGGTAGGGACACATTGAGGTTTGAAACATAAAGGCGCTAAGTCTCTATGCGTCTACTCCCTTTGTGTTTCATTCTTGGATTTCTCCCTTCCATTTGTTTTGGTCATAATATATTACTGAAACAATGGACGGGACCATGGAAATGGACAGGCCACTTGGCGCCTCAGGGAGGCTATTCACCCTCAAATCACGTCCATTTTGGGCGGCCAGACTTGCAACTGACGAGGCATGCGAGCCTTGACCGATGACGAGACCAGGTGGGAGCGAGCTTGGTTGACCTGTCATGGAGCAGGAGCAGTTTTTTGCTGGCAGTCAGACAGGGCTTATATGATACACGCGTGGCATCTTGTCCTTGTGTTTGTTTTCTTTGGAGTCCACTACACTCTTGACAAATACAGTTGAGATCAACATCGAGTGCCTCGCAACAAAACCGACCTCAGATCACATTTGAGTGACTAAGATGCAACAAACATCGACTCAGCAGGTCCAACGTTGACCGGTGTTGCTTGTTGCGTTGTCCTATCACCGAATGGGTCGACCGTAGTAGAGCCCGAAGGACCACAGGACCAGGCCGACGGACATTTCTGAAGCCACGGACGCTGATACTAGTCCGAGAGCCACACGGTTTATACAGTAGGGGAGGAGGCACATCACTCAAATATCAAATAAAAATAATAGAAACAAAGGAGGAACAACTCTAAGGTTATTGGAACACATTCCCAATGCCGAGGCCCAAAAAGGTCAGGACTCAAGAAAACTCAATCTACACTCAACGCAGAAGTTCAACTGGAAAAAGGGCACTCAGAATTTGTACTGAAGAAAACTCTAATAATGAGCAAAACGGTTGAAGCTTCTTCAGTCCAGATTTGAGTCGCCACATGCCCAGAGTTCGTTTTGAGTTGAGGTTTGAGTACTTTCGTGAGTTCAAGCTTGAGTCCATTTGTTTTTGTTTGAGTACTGTTAATGTTTCAGAATGTGCCAGATATGTTTTCTAGATTTCTACCAAATTTCCACCCACACTCAAGCCACCTCCACTTGAGTGGTTTTCCGATGACTTTTCTTTTGGGGGGGTCGACTTCTTTGGGCGGCTGTTTGGAAGCTGAGTTAGGGGTTAAGTATGTTCATAGTCATTTTTGAGTCAGAGTTGAAACTTTTAATTCCCATTTTTTGAACCATATAAATGTTCGGATCTCCTTGGAGCTTACATTTCCATAAGTCTAAGGGTTCGTGCCCGAAGTTTCAACCGCCAAAGCTAGGCTGGTCTTTGAAAAGCTGAAGAAGTGCGCTACAGCTGTCGAATTCTCGTAGGAAATGGCCCTATGTCGAGTCAAGAAGCTGAAACCTCATGTCCCATAATCAATCATAGAGGCATGGACTGCAACAAATCCTCAGACCATCACTCATGTGTATATATAGTCATATAGTTATATATGTTTGTATGTGATATATGTTAACTCTATATATATATATGTACCCCAGACACTCCATGTGTGGCATATTTACCTACATTGACCCCTGAAACCACCCCAATGTAGCTAGCTTGGCAATTCGAGTATTGTTTATTTGTTGTTATTACTTTGAATTCGCCGTTCCCGCAGCCATTTTGTTTGATTTCACTTACCCCTGCATCCTGACTCGCAGAATCAGGCAAGGGCGCCGTGGGGGCGGTGTGGGGGATCAGGTGTTGACTTGGGACCCTTGGCTGGACTAAGATCTCCCTTAAAGCAACTGTTTTTTATTTTAAGGGTTGCTAGGGAGCGGCCCAGGGTCAATCTGCGTTTGAATTGAGCCCGTAGTAGTGGCTCAAACGCTGCCTTTGCTTCGTGTCGCGTTCACTGGCCCCTGGCGTGTGTGGTTGATGGCTGAGCAAATCAATGGGGCGGTGGAGGCACTGGAGGCCCGCGATGCTGCTGAAGCCGCAATGCTGGCGGCCGGGCGGGCTGTGGCTGAGGATGTGATCGAGGAGACCGTTCTTCCTGGCGCGTAACATCTTCAAGATCCAGCCGACCCAGCTGCCCAGGGCACTGGCGATGGCAGAGCTGTGGTGTTGTCTTCAGCGTCAGCAGCCGCCCATGCAGCCCAACGACAAGTGCGGCTAGAGCTGGCTGAGCATTTGTCCACAGTCCCGGGCCACAGTGCAAATTTGACATGGCAATGCTGTCACTGGCCAAGGACGAGATTCACATGTATGCGCTGAGCTTGGACAGTGCCCCGGCAATCTTTCGGAAGAGGTATGATCCCAGCAAGGAGTTGGCATCTGCTTCCTTCAACACTGTCACGTCCAGTTTCTTCGCTGGGGGTGTGAAGACCCGCGACAGCGTCAATGAGATTTGCGCAGGCTCCCAGGCAGCATTGCTAGTTCCATTATTGAACGGCCCCAGCTGGCCAAGCTTTCCAGGGTGGTGGTCAGGCTGCTGTGCCCCAGGCCCAGGCTGCCCCTGCGCAGGCTGCCCCCGCTGCGAAGGCAGCAGATCCGCCAATGCCACTTTGCGAAGCCTAACGTTAGGACAACCAGTGGCAGTATGATCCATGGCAGGCTTGGCAACCCGGGGGAAACAATACCCAGTGAGAGCCCATAGAGCCATATGAGCCACTACCTTTTTGAACAATGCTCGACAAGCAAGAGCGGCGCCGACCATGCAACCTTCGCGTGGCTTTTGCAATTGTCTTTGCTGTCCACGCATTGCAGGACCTCAATCACCGATGTGAAATTTGAAAAAGTGATTCGGATCAATATTGACCTGGTTGAGACAGCTTTTTCAATCGCCAGGGTCTGCTGATGCGAGCGACCAGAATCACAGTTTGATTCTATCAAGTTACAGCTCAACTTATGACAAGCCTTTAAACATTTTGGCAGGTGACCAGCCACGTGGAGGCTGGCGGCATTGTTTGCGCAGGGGCGGCAGACGGTTTCCAGTCAGCTCTCTGAATGTGAGAAGCATTGTAAGCTGTGAGGGCATTGGGAGGCAAAGTTTGACGGTTAGCGCTCTTTTGCCTATGTTTGCAGGCCTGGAAGCGGCTAGCTGGCAGCAAGGGGCTTGGGTCCTAAGTCCACCATCGACAGTTTAATTTTTAATAGCAGTGGTGCGGCGTCATATGGGTGAACGTGCGCGATGAGATGGTGACCTTTGACAGGTTTTCAACGATTCTAGAATCATGTTCAATTCTATTTGTGACCCTTGGTGTGGGCAGTGGTTGACATTTGACATCCACCAGGAGGCAAGTTTCACATGTGGGGTGCCTGCAGAGTCATACACCTCATGTCAAGGTGTGCTCCATCTTGAGCACTGCATGACATCAAAGGGCTTGGGCTTGACCACTTTCCAAGTTGAATGCAGCAGTGACAAGTGACAAGTGATAAATCTTGTGTCCTGGCAGGTTTTGACCAGACAGCTGTCCCAGACGTCCCAGCTGACCCATTGCGTGTAATTTGCGCCAGCCGTCCGACTAGCAAAGTCGTACTGCCTCAGAGTCATCATTCTGGTCAAAGCCCTAGGAATGAATAGGGACCAGAGTTGGGTTGCAAACTTAGCAGGTTTTCTCTGCCAGGAGCTTTTGAGCGAGGATTTTCAAGGACAGCATAGTTTTGTCGTGGCGACTTGGTTGTATGCACAATCATCTGTCAAGTTGAAGCCGAATCCAGAGAAACGTGGCCTTAACGAACGTCCATGAATGTGTCATCGCATGGGAGTGACACCTATTTAGCGTATCTTCCTGCATCTGGGTTCACTTTGCTTGGCAGCTCTCTGGTTATCATTGTTCAATGCGCCTACCCAACTGTTACCTTGCTTCTGTCCCAAGCAGCCCCAAACGATGACCGTTACCATTGCCTTGCAATCAGAAGCCTCCGCGATTCGAGCAATAAAACACCATTCTGCCGCGCAAGCTTTTTGAGAGAGATATAGTTCTATTTCTTGAGAAAGATAGCGTCTTCAACGCTATGAACCCAGGTCGTGGGTGAGAGACACAGATGCGTGTAGCTTGAACAGACAACACAGGCTGCAATAAGTTGTGAGACATGGTAAAAGACATAATCACTTGGCCCACCGCCCGCTGAGGCCCGACATGCGAGTTGCGACCTCCCGCAGCACACAAAAAAAAGACCGCTGCAGATGAATCCGCATAGATCCCTTACTATTTTTCACCACCGCTGATTTTCCTACCAAGGTAGGTAAATATGCCATACTGTTCACGGGAGTGTCTGGGTATATATATAATAAATAAATATATATATATATATTTATATATATAGTATATAAATATATACGGTCTACATGTGACACGTGTGGCCCGCAGCTGTGATGCATGACTTCGGCTAGGTACATTGGACAGAACCTGCGACAGATGGTCGACAGAGCCGATGGCATTTTTCTCTTCAGACTACATAAGGCACCGACGAAGTGCCGACGTGGCTCTTGTCTGAGACCCGGAGTAAGTATCCAGCAGTCGTGGGTAGGGAATACCATGGTATACCGTATATATACCCATGAGCAGTGAGGGCGACATGTGTTTCATAGATTGCAAAACACCCCATATCCTCGTCCACTTCATGGTCCTCTGTCGTTTGCCAGAAGCCTCATGAGGAGCGTGTCTTCTACATGAGCGAGCGGCTACTGAAACATGCCGGTCACATCCCGAAGAAGGCCGGGCCCGGCTGAGCACAAGTCTCGGTCTCTGGGGAAGGGTGAAAAACACAGGGTGAAGAAAAGGTTCCCATCCAGATACTGTAGAAATGGAGACAATTTGCGGTGAGGAATTGCGTTTCAAACAAAGCGTCACGATATGTTGTGATACTTTTTCTTGGAGACAGCAAATGCGCACCCGGCAGCTACTGCCATAGCTTCGCTCGAAGGAGATGGACATGTCCTCTGAGGGCTGACCTGCTTTTCTCGCCTCCATTCGCCGCCAGGAACTGCTCAGTGCTGGCGTTTGCATTGGCAAGGAGTGGGTTTTCCCGTTTGTTTTCTTCGACCGGTGAGTTCAGCTCGAATCAGGGCGCGCCTTCTTCCTGCGCTGGGCATCAGTCACCAAGGATCAGAACTGGGCATCACTGGGCAAAAAATTTGGCATACTTGGACAGAGATGCAGAATCACTGAAAAGAATAGGGGTCAGCTATTGTTTACACCAAGTGTCAACTATTCTGACTATAGGCCTATAGGCTAGACTATGCTAGACTGTTCACTTTGGGTTATGTCCAGGAATGTTTGCAATACATTTGATTAAAACTACCCTGGAAAGGCTACCCCTCATGAAGCCACCATACCCTAGCTAGCCTTCCCAGCTTCATGCCAGAAACTTCCAACCACCTCCAATTTGGCTGCCGTGTCGGGCGCGTACCCTAAGCTCTCGGCTTTCGAGGGCTTCCCTGATCTTCCCTGGGATCGGGTGTTCGAAGCGCGCTGGCGGCGAACTGCGTCGCGCAGTTCACTCACAGCCGGAAGTTTCGGCTGCAGATTACCGCCCTGGACTATTTGGCTGGGGAGCCCAAGAAACCTCAGAAAGCATAGGTCAGATGCTCATTGAGACGAGAGGAGTATCCCATCCACAGACACACACACACACACACACGCACACATTAGATCACATTATCGTATTGATTTTTGTGTTTTTGATGCTGTGTTGTGCACCAGAGATACAGAGGGAACAAATACATGGAAATACACACATACCGGGAAGAGAGTGCCACTTGTGCATTGCATTGCATCGCTTGGCGATGGATTTTTTGGATGCAACCTGATGGTCTGAGGCGCGCTTGGCCCAGTACCGGGTGTGGCTGAAGCCATCTGGAGAGCAACACTTCGTCTATGGCAACCACGTGGTGAAGGCTCTGGAGAGCTCGCTGTGCTGATCGTCATCTCTCACCAAGTTCAGCATGAGAAGCTGTGCGATCGCCGACCTTCTGGTTGTGCTTTTAGTGATTCCTTTTCCAGGTTGCTATATACTATCATTTTGTATATATAACTATATAAGACTCTCTATATATATATATGAATATAAACTATATATATATTATATATACATGTATCACTATCCACTACCCTTACTGCCTTGACGTCCATTTAACACTGTGACATCGTATCCTGATAAACATAAGTTGGCAAAAACCAATAGTTTCCCGCAGGAAATTGTGTCCCCTACAGCATAGTTTTGTGTCATTTCTCCCGTCGTTTCGTGCATCTTCGCCCTTTGAACGACCGCGGCACGACTCTCAGCTGAGCCTTTTACTGTTCGGTCGCCATGGGGGAAGACGCGATGACTTCCACTGGAGGTCCGGGCCGCGAGCGAGCGTGCAAATCGCTCAAAGGAGCTCCGTTGTGACTGTTTCTTTGAGGGGGAGTCGCCTAACTCTTGCGGATTCCAGGTGTTTAACTGTTTGATCTCAAACAACATATCCGGCAATGAGGTGCCGGTGCAGCTGCGTGGATATTTGATGTTGTGCATTACATGTGTTTGTTCTTATTTTGATCTAAAGAGCACCTTACAATCCTTCATGTCAGGTAATGTAATGTGGCCCTTTTTGCAAGTCTATCCAACCACCTGTGGTGCACAGATGCCTGATTAGTTTTTCATAGTTGTTTCTTTGCAGCTTACTTCGTGTGTGTGTGTTTTGTGACGAAGAAACGATGTGGGTGGTGATGGTCTTAGTGTACAAACATGTTTTGTCATGAACAAACACTTGTGGAATCTTGTGGATAATTGTAGATTATATGTGTTTTTAACGTCATAAAAAACATAAACACCTTTCATGCATATGGAGTCTCCCAGGTGGAGTCTCCAGGTGGAGTCCGCCTGCGCATCTTCGCAGGTGGAAACATCTTGGTCTTCCGTGGATGGGGCGCCGACAAGCCGGGCATTTGCCAGGTGAAGCATCGATGGGGCGCTGTCGACCAGAGAAGGGATGACGAAGTGAGATGAGGGCATGGGTCGTGACCCACCTGTTCGCCTTGTTCGCGTTCTCCGGAAGGGTATAGGTCGTGGCCGGTCGGTTCGTGCCCGGTTCAGCATGGACGCTCATCCGTCAAGCCCCGTGAAAACACGGAGCTTGGCCAATGGAGCGCCATCCGGGGAGGCCTTCTTGAAGCTGGTTGTGGAGCACCAGAGCGAGGCACTGGAGTCGACTGAGCGGAGTCGATCATGGAGGGCCCCGGAATATGACGTGATGTCCTTTTCCCCACCTGTATAAGGTGAGGGTTGTTAGATTTTATCTCAGCTGTCGCCGCTCTCCTCCTCCCCCTCCTCCTCCTCCTCCTCGTCTGGTAGTGTTCCCTCAACTGCGAGGGTCATGTGAACCGCCAGCTCCGGATGGCAGTGTGCCCGGCCGGACCTCGACCGCCAGCTCCCGAGCGCACTGAGCTCTGCCGGACCTCAACCAACACACAAACACAAACACGCAATGACAAACACTCAAACACAAACACTCAAACACAAACACAGCTCGGACCTTAGGAGCCTCAGATTGCCACGGTCAACGTCTACAATATGTAGACAAGGCTTTGAACTGTGAGAGACACTTTTCGCACTTCATTGTCATAGCCGTATCCAAACAAAACTTCATGACAACCACCCCGATATTGACATCGACCATCCATATTAATATGTTTTACAAAGACACATTTACAGCACACAACCACAGCCCACAACCACAACACACAACGATAACACACAACCACAATCACAGCACACAACCCCATGACCCACAAACAAGTCAAAAACCACAAGGCTCACGACCATGGCAACATGTTCCTCACCATGCCATGAAGACAAATGATTGACATGTCATGGTGGGGATCACTCGAAATAGAGAGTAATTTCTTTTCGCGTGGCGAATCCTCCCACTGACACCCGCCACACCGCTCAAAACAAAACACCTCCTTGAGACCTGAGTGTCGCTTCACCCCTACGAGGCCAAACGCCCAACAATAGACATGGGGGACAGAGGTACACTGGCACACCCTCACGGAGCAGAAAGGGAGCAGACCACATTTGCTGGATACCTTGGTGGCTGCGGGTCATGGCACCAGGATATCGACCGGTTGAACTTTACCTGGAAGTTCAAACTACATGGTGATGCGGGGGCTCCAGGTTTGGCTTGGAGATCTAGGACCGCATCGAATAGGCCGCACTCCGGGGCCCCAGTTCAGCCACTTCTTCCAACGTCGCAGGTTTGTTGGCCCTGCCATCCAGAATTGCCAGGTGTTGGACATGGCCCAGTTCCTTCTTGGTGGTGGTTTGATGTTCACCTTCGTACTCAAGGCGCTTGACAAATGACTTTGCGGCGTCAGAAGACGACATGACTGATTATGAGAGCTGCCAGGATCTTCAGTGGAACTGTATATAGAGTTCTATATATTGAATCAGCTGGGATTTTTGTTATCACCAAGTCGCTGTACTGAACAAATGTTTTAAATTTACAACTGTTTATCCTTTAGTTTTCTTGGAATTTGCTACTACGTACTGGACAATGTGAAGATACCAAGTGCTCAACCCAGCAGACCTGTATTATAAAGTATAATATATCTGATGAGTTAATTATGCAAGAGTTGCCATATACAATCAGGGACCCACTGTCTCCCACGCAGGTCTTCAACTCCGAGAGGCTTACTCAGTCACCCATGGCCCCCGCGCCCCGGAGCGCGACTCGCCACCGACGTCGGAGTCGTCCACGCGGTTCTGACTCGGCCCTGTCTAGGTGGCGGAACAGAGCTCCATCGGCCTGATGAAGTCTTTGAGCTCCTGTGCTCGAGCCCCTCGGATGAAGCGAGACAGCGGAATTCCGCCCTACGGCGCCGTGGTGGGTGGATTCGCTCGGAGGTGCCAAAGCGACACATGTGTGGTAGACAATCTTTGGAGATCCAGTGCTGCAGGAGAGTTTGTCCATGGTAAAAGGATGTAAAATGGTGTGAAGCACAAGCAGGCAACCATGAGACACCATGGCAAAAAACAAATGCCACATTGCCAAAAAGTAGCAAAGAAGGTTGGGTGAAGATGCCCAAAAGGGGCCTTGTGATGTGATCAGAGTGTTGGACGAGCAGGCTAGCCAACCATCATCATTGTAGGGTGGGTGTAGTTTGGTTAGTCATTGATCCCGTCCAGCCATGGCATTTTGCAGAAGCCCAGACCATCGCAGACCCAAACATTTGGGATCATGTCCAACACTCCTTGAACGAGCTGGTGAGTTTGCACCAGAGAACAAGACTTACATAATGTTGTCGATCTTCAGTCATGAGAAGGCACACATGGCACACCCCTATCCCTCCTGCTGACAAGTCGCAGGAGCAAGGCCTGCAGCTGAACTTCCATTTTCCCGACGCGGGGCAGGCGTGGCGGAGGTCGGCTTGGCCACGCCATGGGGGGTTGAACAAGTTCACTCAACCGAGCGGTCAACCTGATTCCGTTTCGGCCAAGGCTTTAGAAAGAGCCACCAAGGGACCAAGGGGCCAAGATGAAGCGATGCAGTGATATTGACCCCCTCACCAGGCCGGTAGTATCGTTCCTGAGACTAAAAGACATAGTATGCCATCCACACTATAACAGCGGGGACTTTGCGGGACGAATCGGGGTAATCCGTTGGGTCCAGACGAATCCAGCAGTCGTTGGGCAGACGACTTGAAGGATAGAAGATTGCCGAATGACTCACAATTGATCCATGAGTATCCACGATGTTCAACATCCTTTTTGTGAAGGTTGTTGCCGCCCTGAAGTGATTAGTTGTCGGTCCCTTAGAGTTCTCCTTTGGTAAATCGAAAGCACATCTCCTGTTTGTAGATGAGCAACATGTGTGAATTAAGATGAACTAAGCACTGTTTCAGACTAAACATAATCTTCGGACTGTTGATTGAAACAACCACCATAATTATATATGCAGTTTTCGTTGCGATCCAAATGAGGGGTTTGATTCATACGTCCAGTCTACCGTATAGTTCTACCTATATGTCTATCTTAGACACATAACATCCCGATTCACATCCTGTGCCATGCGAATCCGGTGCCGTTTGCTCTGAGCTTCCAGGGTCGGCCGCCAGAGCAAACTGCACCGTTTGCCGCACCGGATCACCGGAAGCCACCAGCGGAATGGATCGCTGATTTCAGCGATCCACCGGTGTGTTCTGGTGTGTTCCCAAGGGTGAGCCCACATATGGGGCCTCTGTCTATGATTTTATTTCCGCAAGAAGTGGATGGTACTTTGCGAAGGGTGCCTAAATTGGATATATATGTTTGTGTTGAAAGACATCACCCATCTCGAGGACCTCCACTCCGGCCACTCGGGGGGCCCGGGAGGAAGCGTCGAAGCAGAGGGCGGAATCCAGGTGCCGGAAGCAGAGGGCGGAAACGAGGCGGTGCTGGCGCTGGTCTCCAGTGAGGCGGAACTCACGACGGGTGTGTGTAGGTAGGTGTCTGTGTGTGTGTGTGGGCGTGGGGTGCGGGTGTGTCAGGGTTGATGTGTCAAAAACATGTGGCATTCTCTTGGAAACGATTGATCGATTGGATTCTCGGCAAGCTGCCTGCAGACTGGGTGATTTGGGAAGATGACTTGTGCTGCCCACTCCTTCATTGTTAGGTTCTAGGTGGTATTAGAGCTGCTCATAGCTGCTCTTCATCAACAGGATCAGAGCGTTTTCAGAGCGCCCAAATGCCCCTCAACAGTTCACACACCCTTGATGGTTCTCAGGGCATATTTGTTTGTAGAGAGCTCCAAATAGATTGTAGAAGTAGATCCCTACTAAACATATTGGAAACCGTTTCTATCTATTTTAGGGGATCTACTAGAATGCAGATCCAAGTATCATCACAGACCTATACCAGTCCATTCTGACACCTCCCTTGCGGACCGAGACCTGAGCTCAGACCGCCCCGGTGAGTGCCCCGGTGGACCGGTGAAAGACCGCCCCGGTGGACCGGTGAAAACCAGACGAAGTATTGGCTCTTTTCCAGTCAAAACGGGTGTTTGTCTCACCTTTAAACAAAGGGTGTTGAGTGGATGGGACTTGGCAAACAAGTCCCATCGTGTACATCGGTGAGAAAGCAATGTGCTTGCATAGACTTCTGACCCACGGTGTTTCCTTCTAGTACTAGTTACTAGCTTAGACTAGAACTATATATATCTGGCCTCTGAAAAAGCCAGAAGAGACTGATGCGACTTGATCGAACAGCTGGTACTCCATCGCACAGATGGGGTCTCTCAGGCTTTCTAGGTAGGTTAAAAAACCCCGTCAAGACTAACATGGACTCTGAAAAACCACAGGGTTCACTAGGAGGAAACACCTCTCTTTCTACATGGGCCAGACGCCAGACTGTCAGGGTCCACGTGACTCTTCGGGAGTGTAGCACCCCGAAAACAGCCTGAGACAAACGCTGCAAGTGGCCTGAGACCAACCACAATGGCTCCCCGACAATGGTTTATTGGTACAAAGCCCTACCCAGTCAGTAGATGTCCTTTAACCTTTTTGGAGGCTCTCAGCTCAGGCGATCACTCCGGCGCTCATCATGGATGTCGATAAGGTCGGTTGACCTCGCGTGGCCACAGCTGCTGGGTGACGGAAAAGGCTGAATCTGACCAATCCACGGGTGCTTGGATTGGCATCCAAGAGCAAAAAGAAGCGATTTGATTTGACCCATTTGGTTCCAAAAGTCCTGGAGAGGTCACCATTTGTTGGATGACAGTGCTCAAAAAAAAGTGTTTGCGAGCACTGGAGTGTGGGAATTGGGAGCTCATGGAAGAATCATTTGCCCAAAAGATGCAAATTCTTTATCGTGGTTTGATCAATCATTCATATACTGTTTGCACAATTGTGAACCAGTCACTCAGAGATTGTGCACCCTCTCTATGTATACAAATCATGGAAGTGGCCTTTGGAAAGACCATTCTGCTCTACAAACCAGGAGTTCTCCACTTCCATGTTTGTTGCAGGGAGGGTAAGACCCTTGATGGATGTTGGCCAGTTTGCGACATCTCCATGCTGAGAAAAGGCTGCCGACACATTGATGCATCTTCCTGCCGATCCGCAGGTGTTATGGGGCCATGGCTGTGTGGTGCTGGAGATTGAACACCGAAGTGATAACATGAAGGCGGGCACTCGCTTCCTCGGGTCGTGAGGATGCGCCATATGCGCGGGGGGGGGCGGGGCCGTTCGGCGTTTGACCAGCGAGTGTGCGAGGTGAAGCTCCAAGCTCTTATGTAGTTTGGCTGCATGACGTAGACCAGACTTACCAGGAATTCGCGAGCCACTTAAGAAGGCTTTCTGGTATGACTGGCGGCATACGGTCGGAACCATTTTTGATGACACGGGTCGATTCTTCCACAGTCAAGTCGACAAATCAGGAGCACAATGGAGACTACAACAAAGTCCAGATCCGGATCAGATGCCCAATTGGATTGAGGCGCCGGAGGTTGATGCTGGACTTGGGACTTGGATCTGGCTGGGACAAGGACCAAAGGACCGTTCGGTCATGCGGGACTCGGGTTGGGTTTGACCCACGGACTAGAACCGATTTCGACCGTAGAATCCATGGTGTTTTTGTTGGTTGGGCCGATGTGTCATTCACCATATATAAAGGGTGGCGATGCCCGCCCTCGGGTTCTCCACAGCTCGTGCTTGTTTGGTTATGCCTGGTTTATTTCTATGATGATGGTTCAAAAAGCGCTACCAGAATGACTGTACCTATTCCAACTCTCCCTCCAAAAGCTTGACATGCTTAGGTCATGGTGTTCGTAATGTGAAGACTGGATTAATCAACCCCCCCTTCAAGGTCAACAAGGTCAACAAGGTTTGAGATTGGAGGTATTGGAGACCACATCCCCTTAATAAAGGTGATGACCTGATGATGGATGATGAGATGATGACCTGGACCTGCTGATGGATGATGGTTGATGGAATTCTGTGTGAATCATGAGAGATTGAACCATGAGAACCATGAGAGAATGCTATGTCTCAAAGAGATTGCATGAGAAAAGAGTGGATCAGAAGATCAGTTTCACCATGGACCAGAAGATATTGGATACTGCCCAAAAAGAATTTAATGAATAACGAAATACTGTATAGTTACAATTTACAATAGTAAACTAAAGTAAACTCTAATTACATTTTTCTGGGGGAGCTGAGCTTGATAAATAGGGGAGGTTTCTGCAAATATACATGTGGAATTCAGGTTTCAAATTAGTTTAGTATTGGGGGCTCGAGCTGGGCTTGATGAATAAGGGGAGGTTACTTGATCCGGTGTCAACATTATGTCTTGGACGGACCTGCAAAAACCTGAGGGAAAACATCCGGCCAAACTCGTGTTTGGTTCCCGAAGATGACCAGGTCCTCGTGCAACGCCCAGAAACACCCGAGAAGTTCGCCGGACCTCCAGGCTGGCGACGCTGATGATGGGTCCTCCTGCGGCCAACATTGAGGGCTTACAGAAGGCCCGGCTGTTCTTTTTGGAAAGGCGTGGATTTTGGAAAGGCCCAGAAGAGGCGGACCATGATCTAATTGGTGGGATAGTTGTGACTCCACGTGAATCCTATAGGATGATGGAGGGAGTGGTTGCCTGGATTGGACTCGTGGGGGTGAAGAAAAGGTTTCAGACCATTCCCAATGCATTGGTTTAAGACGGACGTTTTCCCAGCTGATTGGAACGTCCAGCAGTTTGCTGGCAGTTTGACCCCTGCGTCCACGTCCGCCGTAGGCGGCTCGGATCAAACACCCGGTCCAGGTGTGCTGGAAACATGGTGCAGAGGTGACCAGTCGATGGTGGGACGCCATGAATAGGCGCGAACGCGCGCGAATGCAAGCGAAGTGGTGGATGGGTACATAGCTGGGTATAGGCAGCATGTTTCACCCAGAGAAAACACATGGGCAGGTGAATTGTGGTTTTGAAGTGACTAAGAATAGGATTTCCTGTTCCTGTAGTGTGCTTTTTTTCCACATATGAAACACGTAGAACGATGTTGCTTTTAGCTGGATGATAGACAAGCTTCAAGCTTCAAACTTCTCTTCCCCCAAGTCCAACGGCGATCATCAAACCGACCGGCGTCCATGGGACGTTCTAATCGCTCCGGAGACTGGATATACTTCAAAGATGGTCAAACCTCGAATTGGAGAGTACTTTCCACTACATGTATGAAGGGAACTAGTGATAGTCTCCTCGCTCTCCTCTCCAATTGGGCACCTTCTCGATCGGGATGGCACGCAGGCCCAACGGCAAGTCACTGGTGGTCTTCGGTCTCAGCCACGTGCTGTGCAGCTCGGTCACCGACCGGCCCGGACGCGTCCACGTCGACGGAGCGTGGCGTGGCTCTTGGAGATGAAGGACAACCACATACCGGTCCGATTGAGGAAAGAAAAATAGGGGACCAAGCTATACCAACAAGAACTGAAAGTACAGATCATCATTTGTGACTTCCAAGGGCATCGAATCGATTCTGCCTTGTCTAAGCGTGGCATTCAACCATGTTTGGGGTTTGCGGGGTGACCAGGGATTTCTTTACAACTTATGTATTGATTTTACATTATGGATGCTTTTTTGCAGGATTGTAAGCGAGAGATACGAGCTTGTGACCCGACATGTTTCAATGCCTGAGACCGGTGAGTCTGAGGCAAAGAAGATGTCATGGATTTGGTGCTTCGAGAGGCTGGCCTCCCCACAGACGCAGGCACGAGAAGGGGAAATACGACCTGATGCAAAAACAGACGCAACAAGGAATTCTGAGGTCATTATGCAGAAAATAGTGTTGTCCAAGTAAATATAATTGAAAGCAATTGAACAGGACGGGTCAATGTTGCCTAAGAGATGTTCTTTCAACTTAGTTTTGTTCACAGTGTAAGAGAGAACACACAGGAGGTGGAAGCTTTGGTGTGCTGATGTAAAATCAGCCTTCATGCAGTGTTTGAAAGCAGGAACCACTAAAAAAACATAGACATTTACTTGCACCATGAGATAGAGCACACGCCCTTCTAAACTTCTGGAAATTCTTGGCTGTTTGTTGAAGTGAGACGGCCCGTTTCCTTCTGAAAGAGCACAATCCTGACGGCAGTACTGACGGCAGAAGCTACTTCCTACCAATGGTCGTTTCTTCCCACTGATTCTGATCGATGTGTTTAGCTCGCTTGGAAAAAAGTCCCTGACGTGTCATGGCAGATCGCCATTGGAAGTTAAAGCACCATTTACTGGAGTTCAAGAAAATCCAGAGATGATTTTATGATACCCCTAGATCAAATCACTTCAGAAACCACCCCTACCTAAACTTACCTTTCATTTGCAGTGACCGGATCTTACATTTCAATTGTAGCAAGTGATGATCCACAGATTTCTCCAGGTGCGCCCGAAGAGAAGCTGGCGATGCTGAAAGGCCTTCTGCCACGAAGCATGGATCAGTTCGCAGCGGGGACATCACCTTAGCTATGTTAGTTGGATTTAGTTGGTCATTTAGCTATGTTAGCTGGATAGGTGCGAAAAGAGTCTCGGCTATCAAAGGACAATGCATCAGTTCACAACGCGACCTTAGGGTCGAAATGTCCGCTCTGAGGGTCGGCTCTTGGTCACCGGGTCGAATATCAGAAAGCCATTTACACGTTCAAGAGTTTGAATATGTTTGAATGATATGCAGGACTGCAGGACATATCAAGACACCATTTCCAATCAGCCTTGAGCTGAGCTCGTTACCTTTGAGCTGAGCCTCTCGCCAGGCAAGAGCACCTCGTTGCTCCGGAAGGTCATCGAACACCTTCCACTCACACCAGGGGCCAAGGTGCAATTATGGGGAGACCGGTTGAAGGGGTGGATTGGACTAGTTAGCGGGAAAAACAGTGGTCTCAATTGAATGATGATAGTCCTTGAAATCGCTGAAAGGGAAACTGATGGAGCCACATGCTTCATGAGTAAGATGCAGGGGGTTGAACATGTTTAACTTACGAAGTATTGCCAATAGAGGGCAGGTGACCGGATGGACATTGAAACATGAACGGTCCGGAATTTGATCCCGACCCAGGTGCTAGCATTTTAGAGACGAAACATATCGAGCCCATCTTTGGGGGAGAAGCGACCACCTTGAGAACCCGACCTACGTCTCTGGCGGGACTTCAGCGGTGAGAGCGGTGACACGTTGAAAAACGGTGGAGTTGGGGCCATTTCGTCGCGAGGTCGTGTGTGGGGCCATGAAGCGCCTGGGCTGCCGATTGGCCATTCTGACCAACACAGGCGCAGAGTGCCGCTTCGTATGGAGACGCCTTGATCCTTTCTTTGATGGTTTCCCTGGTTGGTCTCTTTTGTGAGGCCTGCGGGAGATTGCTGAACATGTGAAGAGCCAGCTGGGTTTCGACTATGTGAGCCTCGGGTTTCGTGTTCGGATGGAACGGGTGAGAGACGTTGAAGAAGAGATCGGTCACTCATCACTGCCACATGTGTATAGTTTTCTACCAAAAGACAACGGCCATCAACATCTTGCTCTCCATGAACAGGCTGACAGGTGCCTTTTTTCATGGATCACCGGTCACAAAGAGAAGAGGTCGCGATCTCGGTGCGACGGATGCTCCAAGGATTTGTCGAGATGTGGAAGAAGCGGATGGCTGCTTTACTGGAAGGCCCGAGCTGCTCCGCCGTACCCGTCGGACCCTGGTGACTCGTGTTCCACGCGTCCGGTGGAGTTTGACCAGCTGTAAGAGTTTCGCCACAATCGCGTTGGGATGAGTTTCCCCGCCTCGAAATCCTGCAGCTGCAACGGCGATTGAGAAGAATAATCCCGCTGTTTAATGATTAATGGTGACTCTGGAGTCTAGTGAGAAGTAAACGTTATAAGACAAATGCAAGTGAATTGAGCACCTTGGAACATGGTGCTGGATGTGTTCCTTACAGTAGTACAAAGGTTGCATCAAGAGGTCAAAGGCCACGTGAAAATTAATCCTCCACCTTCCGGCTTTGGCTGGTTTTGGCCTCGAGAAGCCTGGATCATAGTGTTGTTTTCCCTCTTGCATGGTCTTTTGCTGACACTGACATTCAAGCAACTTTGGAGAAGGTGGTGAAGCTGCTCCTTTTTTGGATAATCAAAAGTAAAAGACCACCCTCTCCTAGGAATGCCTGAAGCAGCAAAACGACTCCCTGTTGCCTCTCCAAGTGTGTTTGACTCCTCGAGTGTGGGGCTTAGAATCGCCACTGCCGGGTCGAGGTATTTGGGCGAATTGTCCGACGTGAAGTTCCGCAAGACGGACTTGTTGAAGCTCATGGCCGAGCGTGAAGGCAACGGTTTCCGAGGAAAGCATGCCCCATGGCCCCCCCCAAAAAAGGTATTGAGTTGGTGCAACTGAGCGAGGCGGAATTTCCAGGTGGTTGTTGTATCTCCCGGGTCGCTGAAGACAACTGACGCGCAGTTTGACGCATGGACACGGAGCTTTTTGGCGATCCTCGACGATGGTTTAAGTGGGAGTTTCCATGGGAGGCCACTGATAAACAAAAAGTAGATATATATATATATATACAGACACTCCATGTATGGCATATTTACCTACATTGGGGTGGTTTCAGGGGTCAATGTAGATAAATATGCCACACGTGGAGTGTCTGGCTATGGTGGGTCCTGTTCTTTCTCAAAGTGCCAAGACTGGGAAAGGACGTCCTTTGTGAGTAGGTAGGTCAACCCACAGGCAAATGGCGCCTTTTTCCTCCAGCTCCCTCAAGGGAATTCCATGCAAGTACTGAGTACGAGCTCTTCCGCCGCTTTAAGGTTGGACATTGAAGTCCGCCCAATCTCGTTTCCAAATGCATCCACTCGAACCGGTTTCCTCTTACTTCAGGACGCGCCAGCCTCACCCTATCAGGGCCGACATTGGTTTTTCAGTTTTTATGCCACAAATGTCGATATGATTCGATCCAAATCCGAAGCCAAATCCTTATTCATGCAAAAAATTAAGGAGTTCCTTCTTCACCGGTCCTTTTTGTGGGGAAAGACTGAGACGGAGCCCGAACCGCGGGTCCGAACCGGGTTCGCCGTCCGCGTCCGCGTCCAGGCGTGCGATGTCAGAACGTCATCACGGTGGGTGAGCCGTTGAAGGGGCTCAAGGCGCCGTCGCAGCGGGAGAGCGGGAGAGCGGATGGCAGACGGTTTGCGGGTCTGACCGTTGCACGCGTTGCACGGTGTGCGGGTCTGGAAGAGGTGGAAAAAGGGTGAACAGCTCTGTGCAAGCTCTGTTTTGCAACAGCACCGGGAGACCTTGAAGACCACAGTGGGAGAGAGTTTTGCCATGGTGAAGCCATGAGTTCGTCACTCCAGGTGGTAGACATGGTGTTCTGCAAGAGTTCGTCTCCGGGCTGCCAAGTTCCACTTTGGTGGTGTTGTGAAACCATAGGATGAAGTATGGCATATGGGTTAGGTTAAAGCATGTTAAAACCTCGAGGGAAATTCCTTATTCTAACTTGAAGGCCTCAGGTTGACACATCTCAACCTTTTCAAGTGGACAAAGGGTTGTTTAGGGGATCCTCGCTCTTTCTTTCACCCCAAAGCAGCGTGTTTGCGTGACCCCTTTGGCCGAAAACCCATAGGAGTGGCTGTTTGAAAGATGCAGTCCTCCAGAAAACTCAGATAGAAGCTGCTTGGAAAGGGTTGTTCACCGTTTTCCCAGCCTGTCGACGCACATACACACACAATCACTCACACACCATCACACACCTCTATTTCTTTTTTCCTCAAAAAACCGTGCTCCGGGCTCCGGTTCTTCAGGCCGCCAATGCCCGGCTCATGTTGGAGACCTTTGGCCCCACGGTGTACTTCAACTCGGTGAAGTGCCTTCGACAACGTCCGTACGAGACGAGACGAGTCCGTCGGAACGGACGGACCATCCGGGGATGCCAGTACATCGCAGTGACTCTGGTTGGTGGGTCGTTTGGTAGACTATGGTACATGCCTTATTATCAAGAATGATGTTCAATTATATAAGTATGCTATAGTATGTTGATACTTACTATATATAGGTACAAAGCAGCAACAGGTGACCGCTCCTTGCTGAAGGTGTGTGTGTGTGTGTGTGTTTTAACCAAACGCCAGTTGGGCGGAAGCCGATCGTTTCCGAAAAGGGTAATCATGTTGCTTTGCCAGCTGGGCAGACAATGTGTTTCATTTCACTGTTGATAGGAAGGTCCTTCGGAAGGATCGTGGTCTTTGTGTGGTTTCTTCAATGTGAGACGTTGTCCTAAATTTAGGAACAGATAGACTAGACAAGACCCCGGCCATGGAACCTCAGTACAAGTTGTTGGAGGAGAGCAACCGCACAAATCACATACCCCACAGATTCACGTCTAAGTGCAGTTTTCCAGAAGGAGTACAAGAATGATAAGAATGTTGCAAGGAAGTTATCAGTAAGTCCGGTCCACACTGGCGCAGCGTTCAGCTGTTCAGCGCTCGGTTCGTTCTTTATTTCTACCGGCTCACTTCACTGAAACAAGGCCCAAGTCAGTTCACGCACAGATCCAAGAGAAGGCCCTAGTCAGTGGGTTTGAAAGGCTCAAGGATGCGACAGAGAGGACAGTAGGAAACCGATCTTCATCGAAAATTATTTGAGGAGAACACGCTGTTTTCAATTTCAGGATCACTCACTGTATACAGCGTCCATACCTAGATCCTGCTGGATCCTGCATCCTGAGTGACTCCTGCTTTTCATGTTCAATCCTTGTCCTGTCGAAACAGTGGTCATTAGCTACATTAACTCATCTACCATAGGTCCTTGGATCAAAAACAAGCATCTGGAACACCACCTTCCCCAATCTGTTCATAAACCCTCTCCAGTACCCTTTCCCTTACCACTTTTATTCAACTCCAACTCACAAACACCCCCAAGCAGATTTGGACTGAATCACGCATTTCACCAGGAAAAAATCTGCAGTGCCCACGTATGTCTGCATTTGAGAGAGCGTTTGAGGCTCAAGGACCTCACCATTGTCCTCTACCTCCTGGGCTTCAGCGGCTCTGACGTGCGTGCCTTGCGCAAGCGTCGCTGGGACAATGGCCCTGGGGAGGCTAAGACGACAAGCTCTGTGGAGGCACCTCCCAGCAGCAAGCGCTTCATGCTGCAGGTGGGGAGTGAGGAATGAATGAAGACCCGACATGGTGGAGATAGGGACGTGGGCACGTCAAGGCTTTTTTGGGGGGTGTTCTGTGGAGAAGGGAAGTGGGTACGTCAAGGCTTTTTGGGGGGCTGTTCTGGTGTCATTTGGTGTTTGGGGCCTTGCAGACTCTCCCGTTTCAAACACGTTGGGGTTGGAAGACTATCATCATGGAGCACTCATCCTCTTGACCTTCAAGGAGGAGGGAAATCGTTGCATGCGAAGGCAAGCAAGGCCAGGTGAAAGGGTATATAATGGTGTATATATATATATATACATTGCCTATATAGGTTCATTGAGAGCCTCTGATGTTGCTTGCGAAAGGGCGGCTGTCGGTGTTTTTTTGATCGTCGATCGGCCGATCGCCACGGAGTATCGCACGCCAGGTGAGTGCGCAGCAGCGCACCGCTGGTCAGTTGCAGAGCATCTTCCAGCCCTTGGCACCCCAAGGCTCGAATGTCCAGCTGACCACCATCCGCCAATGCAGCTTGCAGGCGGATGAACCGCATGTTTACCCATCCGCCTGACTGAAGAGCGGAACTTGAGAACCCACTCAAGTCTACTTCAAAGGTTGGGTGCGGGGTTCGCTGGAGGAGTCCACTTTTGCATACTTTCGGATGTTTTTGGGCGGTGTAGGGGAAAAAATGGGTTGAACTTCCTATGGAACTCCTGCCCCCCAAGATGTCATAGCTTTGTGGATCGGTACAGGAGTTCTTCCTTTTTTTTCACAAGGTATATCATCGGATCGTATGCGACGTGCTCCAGATGTTCGTGCTTTTTGTGCTTGTGGTGTCCCCAGGCACTGTCGTTGTGTGCAAATCTAGTTGCTGTGGGGCCCTGTGGGCATGTCACGTTTGACTGCAGTGCTTATGTATATAGTGTATATAATAGATGATCTTTCCATTGTTCATATTTTTTTCCATTCTACCTGAACTACTCTACAGCATCAGATTGTCAAGGACGTCACAAAGCACTTTCTCCTAAATACACCAATCATCGACATGGGACCGCCCCTCCTCAAGGACAATCACAAGAAGACAGCTCACTGACTGACTCGGGTCTCCTTGAGTTGCACCGTGAAGGAAGCAGCTCCTGCCAGAGATGCTCATCCCATGCATATCCTTGTTCCTCTTGCTCATGCCAAAGGCCCATGCATATATCATACAATGTGAATTGAAGCGGTTAACTATATATATGTATATATAATCAACAGGGGGGGACCTTTTTATTGTAACTTACTTTTTCGGGGGGGATGATAAACGTAACTTACCACCCCCCCTGGTCCAGTTTCAGGCCTTTTTGGGGGGGGTGGGGGGGGGGTTGGACCTTGCTCACGCAGCCAGCAAAATCAAGCAAAGGCGTAGAAGGTTGCTTCATTTTGTGTCTGTGAAAGCTTCAAAGTTACATTTTGACTCCCTCCCCCCAAAAAACACATGCGCGGACTGGAGATCTCTGGCAGATCCCTGGGGAAATCGGGGGAAACACCGACAGAAGAGACGCAGAAAAAAACATGGGGGGGGGTCGTGAAAAAATGTAAATTACATTTATTGACGTCCAGGTCCCCCCCTGTTTTTATAGATAGAAAAATGTAACTTAGGGAGGTTGGACGTATTCTTTCAGAAGGCCAAAGCAGCAAAAACCCAAATGCTTCTTGCTTTTGACAAGACATAAATGTAACATGCAAAAAGCCGGCTTGAAAATGCATGGCCACCATAGCATTTCAGCCAAGCGTGTGACCCTGTGACAAGCTGCGCACTCGACAGCAATGATTGAGGGCACCGGCAAATCTAGAGAAACAACATCTAGAAAGAAGATAAACCTTAAGAAGGACATACTTAAGAGAACATGTAAGCTGGGAACCTGGGAGAAGCCAAAATTAGGGAGAGCACCAGCAAATCTAGAGAAACACTAGCTACAGCTACTGTAGAACGAAGATAAGTCTTCCGAAAGACATACCAACTTTCCCGAGAAAATGTAAGCTGAGAACCTTGGATGAGGCAAAATTGGGGAGGGCACCAGCAAATATAGAGAAACAACCGCTGGAAAGAAGATAAGCCTCAAGAAGGACATACCTGAAAACAAAATGTAAGTTGAGAACCTGTGGGAAGCCAAAATTGGGGAGAGCGCCCGCAAACCTAGAGAAACAGCAGCTACAGCTAGAAAGAAGATCTTCAGAAGGACATTCCTACTTTACGGAGAAAATATAAGCTGAGAACCTGGGATAAGCAAAGAATGTGGAGGGCACCAGCAAATCTAGAGAAACAACAGCTAGAAAGACGATAAACTTTAATAAGGACATACCAACTTTAAAGAGAAAATTGTAAGCTGAGAACCTTGGATGAGGCAAAATTGGGGAGGGCGCCAGCAAATCTAGAGAAACAACAGCTAGAAAGAAGATAAGCCTTAAGAAGGACATACCTGAAAAGAAACTGTAATTACGCTGGGAACCAGGGACAAACCAAAACTGGGGAGAGCGCCAGCAAAAGCTTGCGAAATCAGTTCCGTCCGCCAAAGCTTGCTAACGTGTTTTTGCTCAGAATTTCCAAAACGCAAGTCGCGAAAGTGTTGCGAAAGGAACTTGCGAAAGAAGAGCCCATTAGAACAAATTCCCGATAGGTTTTGAGCAATGCTCAAATGATCTCACATGTCTGTGCAATCTGTGCATGCTTTCCCATACGTCCCCTAATTGTAACTTACATTATTTTCTTTATAATGTAACTTACATGTCTGTTGAGGTCATTTCAGGCATGTTGGCACCTGGAAAATGTAATATTACATGTTCTACGTCTTGCAAGGAAAATGTGAGATTACATTTTCCAGGTACCAACCTATGGAAAATGTAAGTGACAGTAAAAAGCTCCCCCCCATGTGGGTGGGGATGATATATACTGTATATATATGGTTGACTTGTTCGGTGCGGACCATCCGTGAACGCCAGGACGGTGGCATGTGTCTCGGCATGGACCTCACAGTGCTGAAGGACGGCCGAAGCCAAGCGACACGAGCTGGGACTGGCATAGGACTGCCGATCAGGCCAGGGGTGGTTTGAAAAGGGATAGACATGTAGATATATATATATGTGCCACACACATGGAGTGTCTGAGTGTCTGAGAAGCAACACGTCTGAAAAACATGGCTGGATTTCGGTGTCAGGTTTCGGCACAGCCGGGAGACGCTGGTGGAGACGCTGGGGTCCAGAAACACCAAAATGCTTCGAGAAGAGAATGTGACTCAGACTTCAAAGCATAGGCTCCAGAGAGATGAGTGGTCCGCCGAACGATCAAACATCCTGTTTTCATCATGTTTTCCAGCTTAAACCACTTGTTTTTGGAAGTTGTTTGCTTCCCTGGAGTAGTTGGACACGAATACACTGACACAAAAACCGTTTTGGCAGCAAGTTCTGCTGCCTCCGCTGCAGGAGCAGCCTGACGTGGTGGTGAAAGACTTGATCTTCGCGTGTCAGAAGGATTGGTCGGTCCATGCAATGTAGACTGTTGATTACAGTATAAGTATAAGTCTATATACACACAACTCCTCCAATTTGGAGTATAGAACCTGTTTGTTTATGTTTTAGTTGTTTTGGGATTACTCACCTCTGAATTAGGGTGTCCGCAGCTCATGGTGACCTAGCAGGTCAAGCATCGGTCAAGTGGTTCACGTTTTTGAGAGGACATGGGAATAATCACCATCTAAGTTTGGGGACTGTGCACAGACTACATGGTTAAGTACATGATCCCTCATCTAATACAGAATTGTTATTTAAAAAAGTAATAAACATATAACAACATAGTTTGGATTCCTCAGCAGGATATTTGCTTGCAGTGTGCATACACTATATGTTTGTTGTATTGTTATAACTAATTAAATATTATGCGTTTATTGCAGATCCAAGAAGCGCACTTTGACTTCCGTGATTGCCAGTGAGTGGTTGATTTTTAAAGCTTTAAACATCCTTCCATGGTTTCCCCACGAAAAGAGAACCGTTTGAATATGGGAAGCTGAGGGATCAGCTGATGCGATGCACTTGTCACCAAACATGAGAATAGCTCTCACTCATTCATGTCGGTTTTGTCGAAAGGTTGTTGGTGGCCATCTATCCCATTCTGAGAAGCTCAAGAAGATGAAAGATGGTGAAGGGGAATAATGCTCAAAGAGATGGCTCCAAGAAGGGGACCTCGCAACCTCCAGGTTCGCGCCCTGTAAACAGGGAGTTCTGAAGACTTACTTGCTGGCTTCCTTTACGGCATGACTAGTTTCCAATCCCAAACTAAAAAGCCCTGGTAGTAAGCCTGGTACCTTCAGTCCTGAATTTGTGTGTTTCTGGCCATGCTCAGGCAGTTAGAACCACAGATCTCCATTTCACACCTATCATGACCATGCCTGAATTCCCTCCTCTATATAAGGGTTGCCTCACCAAAGGAGTAGCTTCCTAGCACTGCCAGCAGGTCGGCTTGACCATCATGGATGTGAATGATTCTGCAAAGGATTTCAATTGGAAGACGCGATATGCCAATAGATATGTGGCTTTGGTTAGCGTTGCCAGCGTGGGCCGATTGCGAAGACAGCTCACTGTTTGCGGGTAGAAGATTTGATGCAACAATGCTGGAAGTCGTTCGAAGATTGATGCAACTATCCTGCGATTGTCGATTGTCCTACGATTGTCATTTTTCTGCGGGTAGAAGATGCCGTTGCTTCTTCGTCCTGCACTGGACCAGGCAGTCGAAGCTGGACCAGGCAGTCACAGCGAGGTGCCCAACTCGCTCCGCTGGGCCTGAGGTGCTCACGATGGTGCAAAAGCCCAACATCAGTAGCACTTCCCTGAGTGAGGCGCAGCTCGCAGGACCCGCATGTCGTTTTGTTCTTCGCAACGTAGTAACCCGGAAGGTTTCAAGGTAGAGATGACATGAGATGACTGACCCCCACCCGTGGGGGGTACGTATTGTTGGTACTTTCCCTTGATACAGCTTGGTCCTTTACTTGCATTTTGTAAAGGCTTGTACCCTTGCGTTCTGTGATGAGTCGCTCCATGGTTGACATCCCTTGCGTCCTCTCTTTTGTTCCTTTGATCAACCGGGCTTCCCCTGATCTTGACCCACAGCCAGATGTCCAAACATGTCCGAAGAACCACGAGTCCTGAGAAGCCTTCAAGTTCCCATCTTGAGTGCGAAGGGTGAACGGCTGTTGTTTGGTGTGAGGTTATTTCAGCTGTGAACTTTCACCCTGAAAAACGCCCTCACTGGACTGGACTCAGCATGATGACTTAGCTGGTATGGACATCTTGTAGATCCATGGGGATGAATTCTTGGGGCGCACTGGCCAATTGATGATGATGATCAGCAGAACTTAAAGCTTTGGGCAGAAGCTGTAGATTGGAGATGCTGGTCAGGCTGAATCTGGATGAAGAGTTCAATCCAGCAGGTTCAACATGCTCAATCAAAATATGATATGACTACACAAGCAAATTTGGGAGTGCATTGAATGACATTGAATGCATGTTCTGTTTTGCAACTATACACCTATACCCTGAAGACCATGTAAGACTGATGTACTACTGCTGAAGAAATTCTGCAGTTGGAGATGGATCAGCCTGGATGAAAATCCTCCTCTTCTGGAGACCAAACATAGTCCCTGTATGTCCTTTGCTATTCCTTGCTCTTGTTGGAGATATTTTTCTGCACCCCTTGGGGACGAATGCGTCGGTTTTCTTCAGGAACGAAAGCTTCACCATCTTCCATCGACCGTCGACCACTTTCGCTTCCTTCGCCCCGCCCCCATCCCATCGGTTCGACGCGTGGCACCGGTCGTCCAGGTGCTGGGGGCCATTGGCTCCAATGGGATCAACATCATCAAGATTGAACGACCGACCGCTTTCGGGTCGTTTCGGGTGGACGTCCCGGGGTTGGTCAAAGGCTGACGGGCTGAACAGAGGAAAGCCGAAGAACGTTTTACTTGATGTTGAAGAAGATATGCTGCACAGGCTGGTAACTTTAATAGTTCAAGTTAGTCCATGTAATCATTTTCAATACAGGGCGCCTGGCGCTACCCTTTTTTTGATCGACGAATACATGGTTGTTTTGGGGCAAGTTACTATGTGGACTGATTTCACGGCAATTTCATGACTGACTTCTTCAGGACTCAGCACACGCGATATCGCCTCCCTCCAGTTCACAGCCACTCAGCGAAGAGCACCGCGTGCTTGGTCGGACTGCAAAGGAGATACAAAACGTGAATTCCTTTGGATATTTATATGGATAATATGTATATATATATATATCCCTAGGGCTCCAGTCGTACCTTTTAAGAAGGTGGGACTGGGGTGGGTGCCAGGAGGGTCCAGTCATACCTTCTGAGGAGGTACTTGGAGCCCTAGGGTATATTTCTATATATCCATATTAATCCATATCTATATCCCTTTGTTTTGTGACCGACGAAGACATCCAAAAGCCAGAGGTTTCTGTGTCCAGTGTGGACAAGTGGATCAACACCTTTGTTGCTGTACAAAAGATCCACCTGAGGCCATTGACTTGTTGAAACTTCTTGTTCTGAGACTCTCGCGTCTCTTGAAGCAACGTTTCTCAATGAACTCCAAACACCAGGAAGATGATAAATACACATAGATCTAGATGATCTATGAAGAACATCTACCTTGAGGCAACTTGAGGCTTGTTTAGGACCTGAAGAGGGCGTTCATACAGAAGCCAGGTCCCATTCGACGCCCCACTGCCTTGGGCTCCGAATAGTCTGTGAACGCATCGCCCGTGTGTTGAGCTGCCCGTGTCTTGAGGTCAGTTTGCCAGATGACCTTTCATCCGATGACTTTGCCAGCAAGATGGTTTGGGAAGCCCAGCCCGTGGGATTTCATTCCGCCGATGGCACATGGCGATCGATCTTGCTTTGGCAAGAAGGTGATGGAACATGTGATGGTCAAGCTATCTTTGCATTTTCATGTACTTGTTGGATGTGTTTGGTACTTTCCACCTGCCAACAGCTCGAAAAGATGTGTTTCCATCGCCCATCATCGCCCCCCGCGAGAAGTGTTTCCCAACACCATTCGCACCCACCAGCACCACCAGCAAGCACCAAACCCTCTCCAACAGCACGGCCAAAGGTGGAGGTCTCCAAGAAGCACGGCGCCGACATCGCCATCCAGCGGGACGACCTGGAGCGCTGGATGCGCCGTGGCTCGGCAGCAAAAATCAAAGGCTTGGAAGGTAAGAGACAGACCTCTGGATAAGCAACGCATATTGCAACCTTGGAATATCTACATACAGTAACTTCTAAAGTTGTAATGTCCACCTCCTAATAATAAACCCCCCCTCCCCCCTTGATCAAGTGCGGGCCCCAAATAATGTGAAATCCAGAAAAATCCTAGAAAATATTGATTTGAATTATGTACAAAGGTAGTTGAATTGGAAATGAGAGGAAAGGAAAGGAGATTGAAGGAAAGGAAAAGAAATGAAAGGAAAATAAAAGGAAAGGAAAGGAAATTGAAAGGAAAATAAAAGGAAAGGAAAGGAAATTGAAAGGACAATGAAAGGAAAGGAAAGGAAATTGAAAGGACAATGAAAGGAGAGGGAAAGAAATGAAAGGAACATGAAAGGAAAGGAAAGGAAATTGAAAGGACAATGAAAGGAAAGGAAATCACGAAAAGAACCAGCCAGGGAGTGTTTAGTATTATTTGAGGCCTGGAGTAATTGAAGGTTTGGGCTGCTCGTGGGGGGTGGTCTTTGTGGGTTGATTTTAGGTTACAAATGGCAATGCCCAAATAAGCAATTTTAAAAGGAAAATGCAGCAGCCAAATCAAAATTCCAGAGTAAAGGAAACCACAAAGTAATCAGGTTTTGGAATCAGCTGAAAGCTCAGAATCAGCTTGGATGAATCAAGGTCTGGAAGCAGCTGAAAATCAAGGTCCAGAACACATTTAGTATTATTTGAGGTCCATTTATTATTGGTGTTTGAAAAGATTTAGTATTATTCACTGGCCATTTACTATTAGGAAGTCAACATTATTATCGTATACATGACTTTTCTTAAATCTAATTTGCATATAAATAAGGACGTATGACCCAGGGCGACCAGGCATCCACCAAAACGATTCACTGCGCAGACCAGACCGGCAGACCAGCTGTGACTTGTTGTTTCGTTTTCGACCTCTGAGGACTCGTGGTCTTTGACATGGACAGTACTTTGATTCAGCAAGAGGTGAGCAGGGCAAAAAGCCGAAGTCAGTGGGCTCATGAGGGCTCAGAGGGTGGGCTTTTCAATGTCCTGAGCATTGAAAAGATTTCATGGCCCTGAAACGGGCCTGTTCATGATGTTTGGGTTTGCCTCTTTACCAACCTATGGAGTTTGTTGGACTTCTTTTGCAAAACATATGCACCATGGAGTGACCCTTCCTAAAACGCTACAGGGAATGGGAACTGTCTCAAAGCCTACGATCTGGTATCAGTTCACCGGTCGCCGTTGCTGGTTGGAAGAAGTTCGCGGATCGTCACTTGCTCCGCACTGGAAAACCTGTATCCTGTGGGAAGAAACCCAACATTGCGCTTCCGTTCGGACCTCTAAACAGTGTTTCTTTATGTTTCTTCTTTGCCGACTTGGACCAGCAACCTCCACAAGGTCTTTGACATGCAGATTTGAGGCAGTGAACAGGTCTCACTCCCGCAGTGTGTCTCTTTTTAAACAGCAAAAACCGAGCAATAAGCTGGTTGGAGTCACCCCTATTCATTGGACCAAGGGCTTTGGACTCCTCCCAACTGATTCTGCGCCGACGATCTCGTAGCAGGTGATCGATGAGCTGGCGAAGCTCGCGGGTGTTGAGACCCAAGTGAAGGACCGTTTCCACCGGGCAGGGCCGGGTCTTTTTGTGACCAGTGGATGTGGGCAGATCAGAACACTCTCACCGTTGCCAATCAGCAAATAGCACTTGAATACAGCCAACATCAGCCAACATTTCCCCAACGTGATTATATAGCATAAATACACGTTATGGCATAAATATGTTTGAACAATTGAACAAAATCATATGTAACAATATCTAATGCATTGTGCATCATTGTGCACATACTTGAAATCATTACTTTTGACTTCCACGTGTTCTCTTCATTTTGATTGAATGTTCTGGGTGGATTCCTCATTGCATCTACCAAGGTCTCCTTAGCAAAGCTGATTCAAGCTTACGTTCCGTTCTTTAATTCTTTAATGAGTTCTTTATGTCTTTCTGCTTTTCTTCCTTTCCTCCTTATTTATCCCTTTCTTGTTGTTTTTCTGTCTTTATTTTTTCCTTTCTGTCCCTTTTTGTTTCTTTTTTGTTCCATTCTGTTGTTCTTTTCTTTTCCCTCCTTCCTTCCTTTCTTCCATCCTTCCGTCCTCCGCCCACATTCTCCTGCCATAGGGTCGTGTCACTGCATCTGTCAGCACCATAGAGAGCGCCAGCTCAGTCTGGGCACGCACGGGCCTGCACACCATCTAGAATGCCAGAATTAGGAAGACAAGCCAGATAGTCATATGAAGAGATATGCCAGAGACATGCCAGATAGCATGCCAGAAAAGACTGTCAGAAGGTACTTAAATCACAGGTAGAATGTCAGAAAGATTGCCAGAAGATGTGGCAGATAGAATGCCAGAAGATGTCCCAGTTAGAGTGCTAGAAGATATACCATGAAGAGTTTCCAAAGATTTGCCAGATGGAGAGCCCACATATGCCAGAGAGTGCGAGATAGAATGTCAGAAAGACTGTCAGACGATATGCCAGGTAGAATGCCAGGATTTATGCCAGAAAGAAGGAATGCCGGAAACCTGGCAAATTCCAGGTATTACGTTTGCGTGATCTTCCTCCGCGTTTTTCGCGAGTCGCAAGTGTTGCGACCCAGCTCAGGAGATCACCGAGGCGGCCATGCGTGGGGAGCTGGACTTCTTTGGATCGCTGAAGTCCCGGGTCGCCTTGTTGAAAGGCTGCCGGTGCGCAGGGCGCAGCGTGCATCAAGAGTGGGGGTGGCTGAGTTCTTAACATTGTTGGGAGGGTGTTGTGCATTTGGGGGGTTGCAATTGATGACTGCTGCAGTGAGGGTAGCTTTTTGGGTGTTGGTAAGTCAGGAAATTGTTGGGATATGTTGGGACTAGACTGTTCACATGTTGATGGTCAGCAAGACGGCACGGGTTTAGATTATCCGTTTACAGATGGCATTCGTTGTGTCGATGACATCCTCGTCAACTCAATGGCCACGTGGTAGCCAGATCGCCACCATGTTCTTCGATGGATAGACTGTCACTTCATTTTCGTCAGGGACAACCCGCAAGCCATGACAACCCAGTCCTTGGTGTCCAGGGGTCATCCCCCGGGTAGAGAACCACCGTGGGCAAGAGAAAACCCTTCAACGAGCCAATGACTGATCACCAGGCCACAATGCGGAGGAACTTTTTGCCAAGGTGAAGGCTGGAGACTGATGGGCCTGGCCGAGGGGTTGATGGGCACCCGGAGCCTTGGAGGTTTGGTGTCTCAATTGGAGGTTTGTGGTGTACACGGTGTACCATGGTGTACCCCAATCGCCAGATGGGCAAGAAAATAGCATGACTAGTAGGCTACATACGGTTTTTGTTGACCGCAGTACACAGAGAGACCGTGATGCAAAGTGATGATTTGGACACCCACTCGTAACACATCTCAACAGAGCCAAGCTGCCTACGTCAGCCTTCGTCATGTAGACGCATCATCACGGTGTCTCCAGGGACTAAGACGATAAGGCACGGCACTCATGCTTGACAAGACGGTAAGACGTGCCAAGACTCCGCAACAAACGACCAGGCGACAATTGAAACCCCAAAGATCAACAGAGGACAGTGGAGCACTGTGATCAACGGAATGTTGGTTATATGTCACGATAGAGATCAATCAGTCTTTGAGAAGAAGAGTCGGAAGGATGTTGGTTGCTTCAGTAGGTTGGGGGTATTCACTGATGCAAAAAGAACAAAATGCCCACACGTGCAACGGGAATCGATTTCGGACCTTTGGACCAGTTCGACGGTCGTGGAGACAGAACGGTCGTCGTGAACGGTCAGTTCGACGCACCGAAGGCGAACCTCATTTTTACACCTGGAGCCAAGAAACTTTGCACCTGCTTGAAGCGTGACTTGATGAATTGGCATAGGGAACAGCGGCAGGTGCGAGTAACAGCAGGTCACTAGACCACTTTAAAATAACAGGTAACAAGGTGTACCACTGGACAGCAGGTCACTAGGTAACAAGGTGTACGACTCACTAGAGTCACTTTAAAATACTTTAAAAAGGTTCCCACATTGACATGTGCAGATGCTTTTGGTGGGAGTGATGGGAATACGGAAACCATACAAAGAGTTTGATTGACCTAGGCTGGCTGGTTTATAGTTGACTAGAACCAACTCAATGCTTTTGGCAAAGTCTTCCCAGATTCCTCAGATGTTAGAACAGCTGGTTGCGGTGATTTGGCAGAGAAAGCATCGATTTTGATCGTCGTTGATTCCCCTGCACCAGCAACCAAGGCTTAGGTTTCAAGACTGCAGTGATCTCAGGAGGCTTTTTGCCCGTAGCGCAGGAGGTGGGGGAAAGTGTTTTTTTGTTGCTTTTTCCAGCGAGAGATGGAGTGAAGGCCTTTGAGCAATGAGGACTAAGTTAAACAAGCAGCAAAGCAAGGAAGTAAGGGAAGTAGGCAACATGTTGATGTGCACACACACACATTGTATAGTTGTATCATATCATATATACAGTCCAGTGTAATTATATATGTAGAGATACAGTAGTGCCTGATTGATTAGGTTCGAAGGGGCTTCTTGGAGGTCTCCTTGGAGACCAAACATCTCAAACAAGATGTCCTATTGTAGTCACCTGATCATGTCTTGATGGATCAGTTCTTTTGTACAATTGATTGAAGCGCATGCTCAAATTTGCGAGGAATCCTTGTACTTTCATGACCATACTTTTCTGTGAAGACACAGCACCAACTGCGTGTTTTCTGGCTTTTGCTGGTTTCTCACTCACCACGATTCTCATCAATCCCTTTAGTGAGCAGTTGGTAGATGCAGTTCGCGTTGACTGGTTTCTACTCTTCAGGTGCAGAGATATTTGGGTTTGGACTACGCCTTCGCCAACACCTTGGAGGTGGACGAGACAACAGGCAAGTGAAAGGAAACGCGCGAGCAAGTCTGAGGAAACAGGCCAGGGTAGGCGGAGATGTGTATACTTTTTGTAGATACTTATATGTACTGTATAATATAATATATAACTAGGGTAGCCGGTTGGTGAAGCCTCGAATCCTGATGAGCTCCATCCAACCGGCGAGACCTCTGCAGCTGCGAGGCCTCTTGACCGGCCAGACCTCGGGGCCCGTGGTCACCCCTCAGCGGAAGCGGCAGCTCTTGGCCACCATCGCCAACGTCGAAGGCGCGGCCGACCCGGTGACGTGTAGAGATCCACATCCGAAGATCCAGCCACAAGCGCTAGGTGTCATTGTTCTGTATAATACAGATATATATATATATATACATGACCAAGTCCTGACTCCTCTTGGGCCCATTAAAAGCGGATTTGAGATTTTCAGGCTGCGAGATCCAGCAGACCATCGCTGTGGGCGACGGCGCCAATGACATCCCGATGCTCCATGCAGCTGGACTTGGCATCGCCTTTTGTGCCAAGCCCAAGGTGGGCATGATCAAAGGGCACGAAGGAGTGGGCAGGTATCCCCAAGTGGTGGACTTGGTCATTTGGGATGATTTCGTGGGTCATTTGGGCTTCCATGTTCAGAGTTGAAGCGGTTGAGTTTGGGAAAGGGAGAATGATGCGTTTGCGGAATGGGAGATGAATGGAGCACAATGGACGGGATCTTGGTCGGGCGTTTCTTTGGACAGACAGGGCGTATCAGGGGGTCATTCTTGCTCTTGATACTACCGGCCACATGCATTTGCTGGAATGCATTCCCAGGGAGCCTGAATGCAAAATAGATCCAAATAGTGTGCAATACAAGACATGTGTGCGATGGACGAACTTCCACTCGCCTGGGTCTTCTAAACCAGAGTCGGTGGGTGGTACACGTACCTTCCCTCCATGTATTGAAGTCAGGCTTGACTTGTTAACTTGTTCAGCTTTATTTACTGTCAATGTCATATGCTTGCCCACAAGATCATTATATACGGCTTTCCGCACTCTATTCAGCACCTTCCAATGCATTGATTGAATACACATATACATAATATATATATATATATATATGTACTTGGACAGGAAGTCCCGAAGAGGCATATAATACCTGACTGAATCGAGGGCTGTTTAGAAATTTGTTGACATCCCTCTCTCCGAACCCAAACGAAAATAAGAGGAAGGAAACGAGGGACGCGCGAACCCACAGTGCCGTGACCGCCGAGCGTAGATACCACGGCCAGGTGCAAGAAGTCTCCAGATATCGCATCAATCAGATGGATCTCAGCACCGTCCTGTTCCTCATCGGCATTTCCGCTCCTTGGTCCGGTGAACGGCTTCACGCGCGCGGTCCGTTTTCAACGCGAGGTCCGTCGCACGGTCCCAGGGTTTGGGTCGAAGTGCGAGGTTCAGCCTGATGTGGATGCTTAAGAGCTGAAGTCGTTTTCATGGAATGCAGAAAGCCAGATTTCACGGAAGAACCACTGTCTTACGCTGAAAGTGGACGAACTACATCAAATGGCGATAACAGCAAACAGCCGTATACGGGCTATTTGAGTTTGAGCTGATTGATCAAGGACTTCATCTGGGCTGCTTGCAAAAGAGCTCGGTCAACATGGTCAGAGTCATTGCACTTGTCTTCCGTCAGGTAGGTCCACATCCATCTACTCTCGCGTCCCAGTGGCGTTTCTGGTGTTTCGTCTCAGGCGTGGTCTTGACCTGTAATGCGAGTCAAAACCTGAACCTCAAAAGAGCAGAGTAGACGAAGATGCTGGCCCAAAAAGGATGTTTGGTGGGTCGACAATCCTTCAAGATCACAGGAGGGTTAAACAGGTGAATGCGATAAGGATGTGTTGAGGCTTTTAAGAGCCGCACACATGCTGCCCGTGCAATGAACTCGTGACTTCGAGGGTATGTGGATCAATGTACGCGAGGCATGTCTCTTCTTTTAGAGGGATGTGGAGTTCAGGGTAGTGCTTGGAGTCGCTCAGATCTTGAAGATTCTAAGCTGGCAAGGGCATGTGGACAGAGGTTCATTCTCTGATGTTCAGCTTTCGTTGTTCACTCAGTCCGCTCCTTAGCCGAACGGGCGGCTGCCTCTTCAGCCATCTTGACCGGTCCTCTGGATTCCATGGATTGGGTGGCGGGCGGACTCGGCCATCGACATCGACTCAGGAAAGAGCAATGGAACGACTGGCTGATGAAACTCCATGTGGCATGTAGAGCGTCGGCAGCGGCAGCGTCGGCAGCGGGTCTCTCGGACCCATGACCTCACTGCGGGCTTCAAAGACCAGGCTTCCGCAAAATCTCCATCGATCGCTTCACTCTAGGCCCGAGCTTGAGGAGATCCGACCGGCCAAAACGGGCAAAGGAAGATCGGCTATCCAAGCCGCTCGGGCTCAAAGTACTATATATAATCTCCTAGGGCTCCAAGTACCTCCTCAGAAAGTATTTGGACCCTCTAAACCCACCCCAAACACCTTCTTAGAAGGTACTTGGAGCCCTAGGGATCTATATAAATAGATGTTGACTAAGTCGCTCAGGCTCCGGACTCCGAGACCTGCTGGGTCGTGACAGGCGGCGCCGGAGCTGCGCAAAAACCGCTGAAAGCTCCCACTGTCAGGTGGTGGTCCGCTCTCTTCGTCGCCTGGCCAGGAGCCACCCAATGAGGGGGGTACCTGTCAGCTACTGACGTAGGGGCACATGTATCTACAGTGTTCGGCATCAGACGTTCTTCACGACATTTCACTACAGTATCTACAGTACAGTTTTCGTACTGTATTTACTGTATATATGCTATAATACGCGCGTGTGTGTATATAAGTATATTTAATATATAATGTAATGTATCAAAACCATTGTGTTCCAATTGTCTAGGCCTTTGATCTATTTTTGCCTGCCGGATCTTCGTTTGGGCAAAGCATTTTGAGCGTGGGAGGTGTCCATTGCTTTCAAATCCAGAGACCCCAGGCGGTCAAATCAGAGACCATTCAGGTGGAGTCACCGGGTAACTGGCTCGATGAACAGGGCCGAGGATTTGGAGAAGCAAGCAGATAGAAAGTCACGGAGTGGTCTTGACATGATCCGCCATGGTTGTAACGGTTTGAAGATGAATGCCACGTTTTCATGTTTTCCATGGGAATTCCCTTGGTATCCCACAGATTTTTAGATATCGGTCTAATAAGTAGGAACCTGATGGAACGTGTAGTACAGTACTCCTGTATATGCCCCCTGAATCAGTATCGCCAGGTCAACCCCTTTTCATCCACCAATCCACAGCTTTCCTCGTGCGACTCGCCGGGTGTCTGGGTGAAGGCGCCGTCTTTCCCCATGCGTTCTGGAGGTGAATCCGCACGGTGAATGCGCCGCGCTTCCGAGCGGTTCCAAGGTGGTTCAACACATACCCAGACCATCCCATGGAACTGAGTGTATGTTTAAGAGTGGTGTTGGATCTTGATTAAAAATAAAATGGATTCCGAGTAGTACAAGGGATTCCCATTAGTAAAAGGAATTCTTGCCCTAAACCAATGGGAGGCCCTCAGTCTGGTCGACTGGTCGATGTTCCTTTCACCGAACTGGAGTCGGTGGCCGCCATATCTAGCCGCCGGCCTGCGGACCCCCACACTCCGATGACGAGGGATCCGGGCCAGTGACCATACAACATGTTTTAATTGCAATGAAGGAATCAGTAAATATAGTGTGAATACCAAGTTGTTTTTTTTTTTAATATATATATATAAGACATTGATATATATATATATAGATATGTGCAAGATGGTAGACTATTCTCATTTACTACCTGGTTCCATGGCAAGACCCAACATATCCCAACATTTTGCCTCCATAAGCAAAAGTTTGAACACATCCAGAGAGAAAAAGGTAGACATATTGAAAAGGACAACAGACAGACAAAAACTACAGTATTCCAAAGGTCTTGAGGGATGCCTTGCACACACCCCACACCCCCTTAGACCTCTGGGGTGTTGAATTTTTGTTTATGGCCGGCAGCGTAGTGGGCCTCTTGCTTATTGTCACGCTCACCATGGGAATTCATGGTTCCTCGCCCCATGCCGTGTACCTTACGTTCGCTTGCAAGAAGCGTGTACCTTGTCGTGTACCAGTGGCGTAGCGTTACCCATGGCGTGTACCTTGTCTCTCTTACCTTTCATTCAAAAAGCCTACCATACCTAAGAAGACCATGAAGCCCACGAAGAAGCAGCCGCAGGCTCCGATGAAGAGGGGACAAAAGAGAAAGCAGAAAGGTCCCAGGTCTCGCCAGTGATAGGTCCCTTGAAGGTCCCTTATGTTCGCCATCCATCCAATCCACCGACTTGTTCTTCTGCTACAACAAGACCTCCTGAGTTGAGAGGGAAGTGAACTGGATTCAGAGCCGTGTGGGAGCACGGGTGGCTACGGACATGGGAACGTCAATCTCCCACAGTGTCCCTCAGCTCTCTCCAATAACAAAGATATTTGGGTCCATGGTTTGCCGGAGGCACAAGTGCAAGAAGCGTGCAACCACGTGCTTTCCATCCAATCTTCTTCTTTGTCAAGGGCAGCTGCTTCACACCTGGGCCTTTGTCTTAAATTGTCTTGTGAGGCTGCGATTCCCTATACTTGTAGCCTGAGTTCCAGTCCGTCCATGCCGTCCAAGCCATTGTTGTTGTCCATCGTACACGAACCTTGAAGCCTCCAGAGCATGTCCGATCCTCAAGAAGAAATCATGTTTGAAGAAACTCGGCCATGGGCAATGGATCTCGGAAAGGAGGAGCTCATGTTCTCAGGCTTGGCCAATACCAAACTTGCCTGGGAATGGCTGGGGGCGGCTTGTCGACCACGCCCTTCGTCTCTATTGCGATCCCAGATCGGTTTCGCTCATCTCCCGCACGCGCCGTGCCTCTCGGTCATCCTGCACCGTCGATTGTGCCGCACCGTGCATCTCAAGACCTCGCCCATGACGTGAAGAATCGTGTGCAGGTCAAAGGCAAATCCACATGACCAAAGCCACACCTGGATCATCTCCCACAAGCTCCCAGATGGCAAGATCAATTTTTAGGCCGGCACACAAATCGTTTTTTGGCCTTCTTCGAAGGGACTGGAAGAACACTGGATGCGCAACAGGTAGTGCTTTCCTGGAACACAAAATGTGTTTTTCCAGTATCCTGTAGCGATATGCCTGTAAGACGTTGTAACAAGTGCTTGTTAGATATAAAAATGTTTTTAATTGGAGAGAGAGCCCGTTTTCACTTTGTTTAAAGAACGTCAACTTAGTAGTCAGTCCCAAAAGTCAAAGTCAACAAACAATCAAATCAGAAAGTTTCAGAAAGTCAAAAACAATCAATTGGCTCAGATCAGACTGTTTGTTCTACTTATACTTGTTGTTTTTCTACTCATGTTGACTTTTTGTTGACTTGTTTGACGTGTTTTGTTTCCAATACTATTATTTGACTTGTTTGACTTGTATGTTTCTGACTTTTTCGAGTCGTTTCTAATGTTGACTTTATGTTTTGAGGTTTATTTGACTTTTGCCGTTCTTTCGACTTTTTTGACTTTCATTTGACTTGTTTTTTGTTTTTCGAGTTGTGATCCATCTTTGGCGTTTTTTTCTTTTAACTTTTTGTGTGACTGTGTGTTTTTTCCGACTTTTTTGACTTGTCCATTTGACTGTTTTTTGACGTTGACGTTTTCATTTGACCTTTGTTTGTTTACTTCTTTCGACTTTGTTTATCAAGGATTCTGGCCTTACCATATGAAAGAACCCACATTGAGTACGCAATGGTTGCTCTTCTATGTCAAGTTCTATTTGCTTGCGGTGTTCTTTTCATACAGCCGTTCTGTCCCTTTAAAAGGTCCCAGAAAGGCTGCTGAGCTATATGGTGGTACAAATGATATCACCAATGTACTATTTTGTGTTTAATATTATCATTAGTGTATAGGGCTTTAGAGTTATATATAATGTGCATCTACCCCTAGTGATGATCCTAAAGCTACTCTTCCACAGATTGGGATATCTGGAGCTGAGCAGTGATGCATCATCGCTCTTTTCATCTTTGACACAACACGAGACGGGCAAATGGCCCGCCTCTGGGCCATTTGCGGGTTCTACATCGGTGACTAACTGGGTTCGGACACCTCGAGCTCCGGCGACGAACCACGGATTCACCTCCCGGCGATCTTCCACCGGGCGCGGTGGGCGACGATCCGTCTCGCCAGATCCGTCCGTGGCCGTGGTGAAAATCTCACGGGTTTGGCCTCGACTGGTGCGAGGAAAGAAGGGCGCTTTTGGGGATTGGAGGGGGAGAGGCATGAGGGGGTTTGCTGTATATAGACATGTTTGAATTTGCAATGGTCCGACAACTGCTTACACATAATATAGTTAATAATCATATACATACATACGTAGTATGTCTAAATCCGCCCAACGAGATCCTGCCACCATCGACGAGTCCAGCCACCACGTGTTCATCATGGCCACGAGGCGCATTTGCGGCGCATCACGGAGGGCGCGCCCCGGAACGCCGGAGTGGTGGTGCTCAACGAGGCGCCAGGGCGGCTCCAAACAGGAGACACCGGTGCTCCAGAGGTCGGTGCTTTGGCATCAGAGAGGGCGGGGCGGTCTGGGGTGGATTCTCAAAGCTTCACTGAGCATTGCTTCACCCAACGTATGTTGGAGTTCCAACCAGTTTTTGAGTACAGATGTTGGACAACTTGGCCTTCACCGAGCCATTGCAGGGAACCACTCCCCATGTGTGCATTCAATAGACTTCCAATGATTGTATCGATACTTGGAGTGTTGGTAGCTCTCATTCATAAGCCCCAGTCGTTTGCCAGTCCTCAGCTTCATCGTCAATAGACCCACTGTCCTCAAGTGTCTTTGACTGAGGACTACTGAGTAGTCGATAGTCCTGAGTTTCTTTTAACTTGGCTCACTGGCTTTGCGTATGGGTCCCACTTCCAAACCAGTTCCACTTCCAGCTAAGTTCACCCACCACTCAGTTTCATGTCAGGTGCCTGGCCCAGTGCCTGGCACGTTTCTTCTTGAGGCGGACGTACCTATTGGCTTCGGTGTGACAGCGAGGTGGGGCGACGTCGGCGACAGCAGCATCACCTGCGTCGACGTGGGTTCCTGCGGTCCAAAGGGATGCGAGAAATGGAGATCCCTAAGTAGTGACAGTGATAGTAGTGTAGGGGAGTCTATTGGAGACCTTTTTGAAGGTGCTGGGATGAGTTCGTTCTGCTTCACATTCTTGTTGACCTTCCCTGAAAACCTCAGGAATCGACACCCTCGATTCATCGGGGCAGGTTTCTTGGGCGGCCGAAGTTCCATCCTGGCCACTTGCCAGTTCCAGCTCATGTGAACTCTGAGTACTCGCCAATATTATTCAATTGACATTTCAAGTGAATCCCTTTTGTTGGACATTGCAGTGAAAACACACGAAGAAACCCTCCACCTCAGAGCCATCTACTTGTTTTCGGAGCAGCGTCACAGCGCTCCTAAAAACCGCTCACTGTGCGTGGTGTGGATAGTAAGATTATATAATTTATACATATATTATATATATATATTTATACCAGGACCTTCCGACAGGTGGTTTTTGGACACCCCTTAACCTCTAAGAGGCTATGAATAGACACCTCTTGGAAGGTGCTGGTATGCATAAATATCCTGGTTGGGGATTGTAGATTTCATTGGGTGGGTCCAAGCCTAAATGAAACACTGAGTTTCAGATGAGGGTGGACTTCTCTATCACGGTCTCTCATTTCGGATGGCGATTCGCTAGGGCCTCTCATTCTTCCTGGGTGCGCTGGGACGATTGGAGCTCCGCATTGAGGTAGCCACTCCCGTATCCAGTTGTTCCATGTTGTTCCTATCCTGTTCTGATGGATTTTTAGCTCACGTCAAAGATGGCCAATGATTTTTATATGATTTACAAACAAGCTCCATTTTGGGGGATGCTTCCCGGTGACATCGATTCTCGGATACCCCCTTTGGGTTTGAAACTAGGTCCACCGAGGAGTGCACCAACCTTGGAGCAGAGGCGAGACGTGCACGAACGAAGGGCGTCTTCGGGGCGTTGAACGATTGGCTGGGTGGGTGGTGAGTTGGAAGACTTCACAAAGACTTCATCCTTAACAGTTTGGGTCTCTCAAATTGACCCCAAAATTGGAGAGATGGGTTGAATTCACTATCCGGTGCAGTACAGGAGCATAGAATCAAAATGTTGCAAACGGAAACATCGCGAAACACTCTCAGGAGCGAGAAAGGAGTAAGAAGCACAAGAGTTCAAGGCCTACGACAAAAGTCACGAAAAGCAGCTCACGAAACGCAGCGCCGGACCCATACCCTTTGAGAAGGTGGGTAATATGTTAGGTGGGTCCACAGCTTCTCGAATGCCCGCAATGGAGAAGCAGTGTAGTTGGCCCAGTCAGCCCACGCTGCTGCTACTTCTAGTGATTCCATCCTGTAACACAGCTCGGATTGGTGGTCGTTTCTAGAGATTCTTTGCGTAAGAAATCCTAAATCATCGCAACTGCACAGTTCCTGACGAATGGCTTGCCCGGCCCGGCGCTTTCGTTGTTCGGTCACGTCCATGAGATTCCATGCATTTGGCGTTCGCCCAAGCGGAACAATCTCCCGTGGACAGGTGTCGCAACAGACGGAGAGGGCTCAAAAACAAAGGTGTGTGAGAAAGGTGGACGCACACTCCGAGGAAGACTCACATGGAAGTGGAGAGCCACCTGTTTGGTCTTCGGAAACGGGTCGTCCAACAGGCCCCTCCCACTTAACCCCATGGTTTCTGGGAGCGTAATTCCTGCAACAAAGTTCCGCTCAAGAGGTGTCTCAAACATGACAATTTTCATCATCCAGTAGAGGGGAAGGTCCGTGGGTCCGCTAAATAAATTCGACCAAAAAGGGAGGCTCAGGCTCAGAAGCATATGTAACGTTTGCTCCCAGAATGGCAGCATTCTCCACCATGGAGAAGAACAACACCCACATACACCGAGGCATAAGACAGCCAATGTTCCAATGCTGAAAACAGGAGACGCACACTAGTTATAGTTCTTTTGCTCATGTCTCCGAGTGTGCATCAGCATGTTTCTTCTCGGCACTCTTCGACACTTGGCCTAGCCAGCGCTTGCTTGGAGCCCATATGTGCATCAATCACAAATAAGTGGTCAATAAACAAAGGAGCATCAAAATCATCAAACTGCAGAGAACGCTCCTTGAAACTATGCATTCCTTGCTTTTGTTAAGCCCCTTTATTTGGTCAATTTGCTCGATCTTGGCCAAAACTATGGTCGAGTTGTCGACTGTGAGGCGCTGGTGGTGTATCACCAAGCTGATGCCTGGAGCCCCAGGGACTACATGTTCATAACCCTACTTTCGCTGCTTGTTGGGTTGAATCCTGACATTGCCTTCGAGCGCGTCACCGCTGAGGTGGGCGAGTATTTGCGTGAAGAGGCCAGGTGTATTCAGCGGAGCTGGTGGCAGGGAGCATGGGCGGTGAGGTATTGGAACATCAGAACATCAACCCGGGTTCTATACTAAATACACTAAAAACTAATAGATATTTATGCATATATATATATGTGCATATATTGTATAGTATTATATAAAATGTTTAAATATATATATATATATAACCCAAGACTTTCAGTTAAACCTACACAAAGTGAAGACAAGACCTTCAATCAGATGAGCAGCAGTGGCTCAGATGGTGACTGCCACTGAGCTTGCGACAGCGCCGAGACCCATTTCTCTTGAGTTTCGAGTTCAGACTGTAGAACCTTGGGCTGGATCAAATCCAGCATCAGCTGAGTGGTTGACTGAAAATAGCACTTAGAAACAAGAGATCTATATCCTCGGAGTTTTTTCATCAACTCATGTCTCAAATTGGCGAACCCTCCCATCCACTACCATAGGTCTTGGTCCTTTCTTGTTCATTTCGCGGCTTCGCTGCTGGGTCACAAGGGGGGTTGCTGTCAGTTCCAGTTCTGCAACATCAGCGGCTTTGATCAAAACCTTTCAACGGACCCCACAGTTGCAAAAGCTGTGTCCGACCCAGTTCTACTCGTGATACCCCCCAAAACCAATCACGCGACCGATTCTGCCGACGTGTTGCGCGATTCACAGCCCTAAGTAGCCTAAGAACATGTAAGAGTCATAGCTACCACATGTCCACACCGAAAATGCCAGGCGGACCTGGTTTGATGCGAGCCGCTTTGGGATTTGTGAATGCTTTGAGAACAGATGGTGGCAAGCCGAAGGCTAGTAAGGAATTGGCACTAGTTTGACCCATTTGCATCAAGCAACCTGCAAGCACTTTTTTGGCACTTGACATTGGACAACCATACTGCAATATTCATCGGTCAGAACACCGAAGCACGCACAATCGAACCTCGGGGCTTGCTCCCGACAAAGCGGTGGGGTTGGCGGTGACATGCCTAAAGATTTGGCGGTCGATGTTTCACACCCCCGATGGCGGTCCATGGGGGTCCAAAAGTCCTCGGCGACGCCTGGTGCACGGCTTGGCCCGCGCTTTGGGCTTGGGCTTCACGGTTTTTTTGGCTTCACGTCATTCAGAACAGCACACTTTCTTGGCGACTTGACCAAGGTTTGGGAAGGCGATCTGTTTGGGAGAGACGTTAGTGAGTGCTGACCAGTGTGCAAGAGTACACAAATCTGTGATCGAAGCCTGACTTGCCACTTGGAATAGGCTCCTACAATATACCAAAATGGAGGCTGCAGTGCCGCGGGGGAAGCTAAGTGGTACGATCAGAACCCTAGCCCTTTGGTGGTGAGGGTGCGCAATGAAATTAGCGACTGGGCACCTTCTTGAGATGTTTTCTTTCAGGGTTCACCGAAGCAAGGGGCTTCCTTACCACAGTTCCTTTCAGGGATGTGGACTAAGGAGATCTGGGCTCATCACCCATGGTCACCATGATCATGGTCACCATAGACGACTCAACGGCCGTGTTTTGGACCCGCAGTCCATTTTGACCTCATTTTGGACCCGATCCTCTCAGTCCAAGCCATGGTGCAAAGCATTACGACCCTCATCCTCAAGACGGCCAAGAAGTTGAGCCACGAGGACGGGTGTCATGGATGAGGCTCCCTCGTTTGGCTTTGATGAGAGAGTATATGGGTTGATACATGTCGATACTACAATACATGTCAAGTCAAACATGGTCAAAGCATAAAAGATCCGGAAGCAACCTTATTGACCTTATTGTAGTGATTCGACTGTGGGTTTGCTATGGGGTCAACAGGATGTGTTAATTGTCTCAGGATGCTATGTCATGTCCTCAACTGTTCGCCTCCACTTGCCACTTACACGTTCAAAATCTTCAGAAGGGCGTGTTGAGGTACGTCCACGGTTGTTGTCTCCATGTTCAGTCCTCAGGCATCCTCAGGCCTTTTTGTGATGTAAGGATCATGAAGACTTGGACCAGAACCCAGACAGTCCATGTGTGTACCCTGACAGTCCATGTGGTTGAAAAGGGGTCAATGTTGGGGAAGCTATGTGGTAAAGCTAGGTGTATCAAGGTTGGCATACACGGAGTGTGTGGGGAAGCTATGTTTAATGCAGTCAACGCCCAATGGTGTTGTGATCAGTGCGATGACCTCGACACAAGCGGCCATCATATGATGTGGACACATGGTTATAATTGCCCGAGATAAAGGCGAATGGAACGGACGGGGGCCGACCCACAGATGTTGTCAAATCCAATATATGTTCCCTCACTCTTTCTGTTTGCCAAGCGTCATATTCTACCTGCACAAAAGTAGGGGGTTACTGAGATACTCTTCAACATGTCAAATATGATCAAATATGTGATACTATATCATTGGTTGCTGTAAGATCACTTGCCAGTGGCACACAATTTTATTCAGAGGTTCCATTGCCCCTCGGATCTTGCGCTTGCATGTTTGGCTTAGGCAAGGAACGTATATACTAGCTTGCCACACAAGCAACCCCGTACTCTACCCCTCAAAAATGTCAGGTTTGCAGAGAATCTATTCCAGTCGTCCAGGTGATTCTTTAAAGCAATGATGGACGCTTAGGGTAATTATGAGTTGGTGTCAAAGGTTGTTGAGGTTACGTCTGGAGTCTTTTGTCACTGTGACAACTTACATGGACAGGTCCACGTCACTCAGCCAACACCCTGCGAATGTTCAGAACACTCAATCACTCTGAACAGTGTTCAATGGTGATTTGGCACATGGTTTTGGACCCGTGCCGCACTGATCCCGCCCGAACGTCGGGCGGGGCAAGGCTCGCCGGATGCCCACGGTCCGTGTGAACCGTCGCCAGGACTTCCTGGGTGCGCTGCGCAACTTGTGCCGTTGGGCCGTGCCCGAAGTCCAACATGCCTTCGACTTCGTGCATTTGCCACTGGGTGTCCACCCACTCACCTAAGAACAGTCTTGGAGTCAGAGTAGTCAGAGATGTTCTCTTTGTAGAGTGAGACGATTGGAGGGTGTTTGTCCGGGTTCTCAGGGTCCAGAGTCGAAAGGATTGGGACCAGATGTTGGGGGATGCATTGCGATGTTTTTGGACTTGGACTGTCTTTTTTATCACGCAGAAGGTGTGTCACTCAGACAGATCCGGCCTTCATGCAGAAACACATGTTTAATTCTTGACTGCCAGCAACTGCCAGCCTGGCAGCTGCCTGCGCAGCCAAAGGCCTTGGAAGAAGTTGGCCGTGGTGAACTTCACCTCCCCCGAGACTTGTGCCAAGTGCTACCGCGTCTTCTCCGCCATCGCTGGCCAGGTGCGACCGTTGGGTCGTCGGGTACTGTTTTTCCTCTTATCCAAATAAAGCTTCGAAGGATGAATGATCTTGATCTCAAAGTTTCTGACGTTGGAGTCGTAGGTCATGGCTTGTGATGAAGACGGGTCTTGTCAATGATGCGTTGTGTGAGAATGTTCTGGCTTAATGGTTTTTCAATGTTCTTCATATTTGTCGAATGATTCTGGTGACTTTTGTACTGGCCTCACATCTGGACCAGACAGTCCCAAGGTCAGAGAAGAGTAAATTACAATGCCGGGGTGACAGTTTCTCGACGGAGATGCAACATGGTGTAACCATGTGAAGGAGTCCAACATCATGTTGTTTTTGCCAGGTGCTTTCATTGAAGTGCTGATCCTTCAAGAACATCGATGTTGTTGTTTTTTTTTGTGAGGCCCCTACTACCCAGGCACTCCATGTATGACATATTTGCCTGCATCGATTTGTACATTGGGGTGGTTCTTGGCCGGGCATGTCGGCCTCACTTATTGGGGGATCCGGTCAGGAGAGCATGCTGATCGTGGATCTCAAGGAAGCACAACATCAGGGCCTTGCCCAGCCACTCGGTGCGTTCTGTCCAAAATGGTGTGGTCTTTATCCGCGCAAAACTATCCAGTCAAAGGCGCATGGTTTTACCCTTTCCTGGTGTTTTCGAGTTTCTTTTGCCTGAAGCCGCTGTAGATAAGATTGACCTGACGGGAGATTGGTGTGTAAAATCTCCCCCTGACTTGCTGGGGTCTCTCTGTGCACCAGTCACCACTGGGATCCATAAAACTGCAAGAGATCGGACTGTTCTTTTTGTTTCGAGCTCGGAATTTGCTAGAAAAAATGAGAACTTGTGGGAAATAGGGATTGGGAGGAGGTTTCTGTGGAAGGCACGTTTTCCTTCAGACGGTGTGCTCCACATCTTAGACTTGCGGAAGCAGCAAAGAAGCACACTAACTAATGTCCAAACCAGGTTTGAAGGTATCACTGCGGCTCACACCCTGGGGCCTGGATGCTCACACAATGCGAATGATCCACAATGGTGTTCATCACGTGGCACAGAGAACCTCCCATGAATTACAAGGTAGAACAAGTGGCCAGAATGTCCAGACGAATGGCCAGACGCCGCAAGCTATCACTTTGGGTCTTGGCTGTGTTTGCCAAGGAATTTGGCTTTATACTGCTTGAGATCTCATCACATGGAGTCGGTGTGCTTTGGCAAGAACATGCAAGAGCGGCGTGCCAAGGGCTGCAACAGCTGACTCTTCCAAGTGACCTTTCGATCCCCTGGTTTGAGCTCGCAAACAGGCCGGTAAAAGGCCACTTAGGCATACTTAGGGACTCCAAAAAAGGTAACTTTGAAGAAGCATCACCAGTGTTTGTTTGGGGGAACCATCACCACGCCATGCGCAGTTTGGAACATTTTGGAACCATCGCCATGCTGACATGGACCCGCCACACATGGATAGTCAACGGAGACCGTCCTCCTGGGTGCCTTTGGCACCTCGGTTGGACTCTGGGCGCTGAACGACCCGGTTGAACGAACCCTCCGTTGCGAACGGTAGACTTGGTAGGTGCAGAATCGGTGCGAATCGGTGGGAAGTCCATGTGAAGTCTGCGAAACGGTGACTCATTCCTTCCCTGCAGCGGCCAATGTGTCAATCATTATCATTTGACACACTCACATTCAAAGATTGACAAGAATTCCAAGTGTATATAAACCCCCAAATAGATATAAAAGTAGATCCCCACTAAAAATGTATTGGAAACCGCTTCTATCCATTTGGGGACCACTATAAGCCTTTGCCACATACAAAGATATCGGTTTGCAGCTCTTAGGTCTGACGGGTGTTGACATGATTGAACATCCCATGTTTACCACCGCCGTAGAACCACCGTGTAAGTGGACGTGTAAGTTAGGGTTCCTTGCATCATCGTGTTTTCGTCCTCGGCCGTTCTGAGTCCTACTGGTCCTACCTTTTTGTGAGATCATATGGGCCCGGGACGGAGTTCTATCTTTCTCGTCCTAGGAGTCCTAGGGCCTATGAGTCACATGATTCTGTCTGAGTCCTAGTTCCTTTCTTATGAGTCCTAGGAGTCCCACGTTTCTGATCTTTTGGTGACTATGAGTCCGCTTCGCATTGCTTCGCACATAGCTCACCAGGTTGCTGGGAGGGAGGTGTCATTTAGCTGACCTAGGAGTCCTACATCTCGGTGTCAGCTTTACACATAGCTGGATGGCCGGAGCATTCGGCATTTTCAATCAACCCCAGATCGCCCATCAGCGTTGATCTCTTCCTCTCTCGTTGATCTCGGGAAGACCGGCTCGATGGCTCGATGCGGCTGGTTTTGGATGTTCCCTTTGATCAATTGGAGGATTGGACCAAATCTACGGGTCGGTCCCCCCTGGTTGGTTCAGAATGGAAAGAGGAAGGGAGCTAAAATCATCATGAAAGTGGATGGCATGGCCCCTTGGATTCCGATGTTTCCTGCACAAAACAGGTGTTGTTCCACTGATCCATGTTCTTTCGAATTCAGTGTATCTCCCGGTCACGAACCGTGACCATCCCCGACTCCTTTGGAGGTAATGCAAATCCTTGGTGATTCCGATCTGTGCGTTGCAGAGTGTTTTTCAGTGCGATGCATCTGAGTCAGCCTCGGGTCTTCGTCAATGGAGTCGAACTGCCCTTGGCGCTAGCCTGTGCCAAGCTGGTTTCGCCTCAGATGCTGCAACTGGTCGCCACTTGGGCAAAGCTGGAGGGTTGGAATATGTAAGGAAGGATTCACAGGCAATTTCGGGGCTTTGGAGCGACGATTACTATGCCTGACAGCTAAAGTGCCCAAATCAGTGCAGGTGCATGTTCCTGTACCTTTGTTGCATGATGCTGAGAAAATGGGGTCGTCATGAGTGGATGTGCAACACATTTGGCAGAGGGACAGGTTTTCACAAGACGGATGCCCACACGCGAGTGCTGGAGATGTCTTCTTGCCGACCAACAAAGCAACATGCTGCAGCAAGCAACCAAACAATCAAGCAATTGAACAGGCCACAGCGAATCATCGGGCAATCACCCGCCAAGCGAATCACCAAGCGACCAACATCGACTGACCATATAATACCATATATATATAGCCAGCCAGAAAACACGGTCGTCTCCATTGTTGGTGGACAGAGCAACAGGTTGAGCTGAGAGGGGAGCAACAGCCGATCTTTTTTTGACTCAAAAGGGAGCCAAGGAGCTTCATCATGGTGTTTTTCACCGCGACAGGTTTGATATATTTTTTTTGGAAAAGGGCGACGGGTTTGAAGAAGATGGAGGTCGGTGGCTTCGTCTTCGAAGACTTCCGCATACCATTGGTAAACGGGCAAAGCACATTGAACACGTTGGAGGCTGTAAGTTATATACTCGCCACTTTAAGGCAATGAATAACCTGTCGGCCTGTTCGGGACGCCACACGTTGCCACACGGCGCATCCTGCTCACGTCGGTGCACCGGTGCTGAGGCCTTGCAACAGGCAGGAGTGGAACATCCCCCAGGCCTGCCACCACTGCCGAGGCGCTCCCCATTTGGGGTAACTGGCTGGTGACACTCTGCAAAGGGCGCTACGCACGGGCATGTAGGAACAAAACAGGGCAATCAACATCGAGGTGTTAAGGTCCATTTGCTTTGACCTGAAGATATACTGTATATATTATATTATATATATAGGTTTATATATTTATTATATTCATATGTTGTTGTTTGTTTCTTCACATACACAGGATGCTGTTGTTTCACATTTCACAAGTTGCTTGCTCATCTCGACCGAATCATGAACCCCCATCGTAAAACAGATCGGTTCGACAGATCTGCCGTCGAGCCGAAGCGGCCGTCGAGCCTCCTTGAAGCCATCATAAGCCATACTCCCTCCAGTTCCTCCAGTTCCCTTCAGGATGCTCTCCAAGCTCGAGACGGTCCAGCGCTGCCGCGACGCCGACGCTCTGTCCGTGCCCTTCGCTGCGGATGGACCGACCGAAGAGCATCGAGAAAGGGACAAGCAAATGTTTCTTTAAACAAAGCAAAAAACAACATCAACAACATGACACACTCCAAAATTCTAGACAAAAGGTTGAAGATTGCTGGGGATACTTGTACCTCAAATTCCGGGACAAACCGGTGTTGTCAGTGGAGTGTTGTGTTGTTTCAGCAAAGCGGCTAGCGCAGAAGTTCGGATACCCACCTAAGTTCTAGAATCCCATTCTTTGCCCCAAATTCCATTTCTGGAATATATGCCCCAATGTAGGTAAATCATGGTGTGCCTGGGTACAGTATAGCTATGAAATAGCAACATTTGTAGCTCTTGAAGTCGTGGTCATGATTCTAGATGCTTTACTCCTTTGGAAGCCATTTTTGGACTAAATGACCACAGGACTCACTGTCGCAACAGACTGGAGGTTTGTCGATTTAGGGACGCTTGCTCGCACACGATCTTCACAGATTTGAGTAAGGGTGCTTACACGCACATGTTTGCACCAAAACTGAGGAGCAACATGATGTTCAAAACTGCACATCGTATAGGCCAGTATAAGGTGTAAATGTGCACAACATGATTGCAATTCTAATTTGTCACTTACCCGCATGCACAAAAACTGGGATGTTCATGCCCTGATTTGCTTTGTCTTGTAACCGTGATTAACTGTGTAACCAGTATAACGGTGGTAGAGATGGCGCCAGGCGTTTGGTTTCGTTTTTTCTGCGATGGGTTGGATCTTTGAACCTCGCAGACTTTCCGGTGCAGGATGTCAAATGGTGTTTTCCTTGTGAGCGAAAGATGAGCCTGTGCTGGGAGCCTGCGCTGACATGAGCCGCCTTGCCTTGGGGATGCCACGGTCGACCGAATTTACAGCCTTCGGCATGCCGCCGGCCACCAGCTCGAGCCCGCATTGGCAGGCAGCCTAATGATGCTTATTAACAGTCAAACCGTAGATTGAAACCAACCGGGGCAGGGCAGGCTGTCGAAACATCCGCGCGGAGAAACAAACCGTAGATTGAAACCAACCGTAGATTGAAACCAATGGAAACCAACACAAGCCAGACGAAGCAAGACAATCCACAAAGCCGGTACTTGAAAATGACTCTTCTTCCAAACTACTTGGCCTTTTGCATGTTTTCCTTGTCAGATCTTTTTTTCGACCGTCTCGAGGAATTGCGAGTCGCACAAGATATTCTTTTTCACAGACAGAAGGCTTCAAAGCGACCGAAGAATTTCTTGATCTGGCATGATTTGTCGTTTTTTTCTCCAAACCGTTCGAAATGAAAGACCCAGAATGACATCGAACAACAATACCCTGCTCAATCATACTTGTTGGTGCATTGGAGTTGCACATTTGGCTGGGTGAGTTTGTTGATGTTTATTTCAAGGTTGTTTGACCATGAAATGGAACGAATCCGAATCAGAGGTTGTCTATTCTGATCCAGCGATCCGAACCGGCATGTCTCAGTCGAATCACCTAAGAGGAACCAATTGAAACCAACACAAGCAATGCGAACCAAGACTATCCACAAAACATGACCTTGAAAACGATTCTTCTTCCAAACTACTTGGCCGTTTGCATGTTTTCCTTTTCAGATCTTTCTTTCGACCGTCTCGAGGGATTGCGACACGCACCAGATATTCTTTTTCACACACAGAAGGCTTCAAAGCGACCGAAGAATTTCTAGATCTGGCATGATTTGTCGTTTTTTCTCCAAACCGTTTGAAATGAAAGAGCCAGAATGACATCGAACAACAATACCCTGCTCAATCAGACTTGTGGGTGCATTGGAGTTTCACATTTGGCTGGGAGAGTTTGCTGATGTTGATTTCAAGCGAAGTCGTTTTACAATGAAATGGAACGAATCCGAATCAGAGGTTGTCTATTCTGATCCAGCGATCCAGCGATCGACATGTCTCAGTCCAATGGTTGTCTATTCTGATCCAGCGATCGACATGTCTCAGTCCAATCACCTTAGACGTAGAGAGGGGGGGGGGCGTCATGCTGTCGAAAAATCCGCGCGGAGATACAAACCGTAGATTGAAACCAACACAAGCAATACTAACCAAAACAATCCACAAAGCACGCCGGCAGGCCGGCGGATTTATGGTTTGAGGGTCTTGCAAGACGGTCACCACGAAGGCCAAGCTGAGCTGGGGACACCATTCAATCAAAGCACCAGGCACCAGTTGAAACTACGAGTTGGTGTAAGGATTGTTTCGTCCCTCCAAGTCAAAGAAACTGCTCCAAGTCAAAAAATCCTCAATTTTCAATTGACTGGGCGTGGCCTTCTTGCAGTCCTCAAGTCTCTCTCAAGTGTTCCGGCGATAGAGATCCCCCTAAAGTCTGGAAGACTGCAGCCCCTTGAAAGAAGGACTACATATATACACTCAACCTTAGGAAATATAATGACTCCGGAATAGGGGGTACATCACCCCTCCCTAAGGTTGAGGGTATGAGACTACTTCGTGCCTCATTTTGGAGCAGAAGAGGTCATCGAAGAGGTCGGTGCTGGATGACCTCCCTCTCACTGAGAAGAAGTGGAGTAAACAAGTTGTGCTTTAGGACTGATGCCATCCCTAGGGCAGGAGCGGACGGAGGCTTGCAGTGTCGAGACAATGCCGAAGCAACGAATCAGATTGTTCATTACAGCAGGGTAGGGCAGGGATGGGGACGTCAACAACTCCAACAAACGTCTCGGCCGAAAAGATGTTTGTCCCAGGTCTCACAAGATGCCCAGGGTTCCTGTTCCGCTGGGATGCCCACGGATCCTCGTTTTCGACGTCACGTTTTCAGGTGGAGGTGACCGCAGGGTCGATGCGGGAGTCTCGGTGGTTATGACTTGGCAGACTCAGACTCTGGCGATTTCCAGCAAATCTCTCCAACATGGAAATTTCATGGAAATGGAATAATCTTTAAGACGACCGACAATGGATTGTCCACTTCCATCTTCATTGGAGGGGAGGGTTTTCCCAAAGCAACCCGGTGTTTCGCACCCGAGACACGCAGCTATGCAGTCCTCGTTTGGGCCATCTGTATAAGGTCTTTGTATTTGGTCGTGCAGTGGGGGCCTGGAAAAAGAAAAAGACATGGATCTGTGTGGATCTGTGCATTTGTGTTTGTCACATGTTGTCACGCAATCTCCTTTCCAGGCAGTCTTAGTGGTGGCTCTTTTCGTGTCGAAAGGCCGAACCGACCCATCTTTGACCAATTCCCATGATACTGTAGTCGTGTGAAGCATCATCCTTTCGCAGGGTCCAGGCGTCCAGGGTCCGCTGTTTGGGTGATCGAGATATTCTGGCCTGTTTCGACACTGCTCTATGGGGGCAACCCATGCTGTCAGTATGGCCAAACTTATGGAGGTTGCTTCCAGCATGATGACTGCCAGTTGACAGGACTTTTTCAAAAAGTGCACAGGACTGTGTGAGAATGTGCACGGCCTACAGACTGGTTGGGTCATTGAAAACACTAGGTCACGTCTTGCGCTTCTTTTTAAGGAAGGCTAGGTTGGAGGCCATCGCTTCTAGGTTGGAGGCCGTTGCTAATAAGATTGGTCACTTTATCCCGGTTTAAGAACAGAAAAGGATAGAAAAGAATCATGTTGCGTGAATGTCCACGGAAAGTTTAGGGGATGAATCAATCCAAGTGCTTCAATGGGGGGAAGGGAGTTTTACCCATAGCCTCATTGTTGATTTTTCATGTGAACTTGGCGCGTCATGGTCGCAGCCTGGCTTGCTGGCAGTTTGACGAAATGAGGATTGTGATTGCTGTTGCAAAAGCCCCCTAAAAGAAAGCAGATGTGGATGGCTTTGCAGCAGAATGTGTGGAGGGTCCGGGACGAAAGAAACAGTTCTCAGAAGTGGCTGGCATGGACAATTGATACTGTACTGTAGGCCACGGTAGATCTTATTAAATTTATTAATCTATGTTTAGCACCGCCGGACTATACATGTGGTAGAATTATGCGATCAAAGAGTGAACATGTCTCTGCCCTGTTCGGTCTGGGACCAGCCAACTCGAACGACGACAGCCAACTTGCCTGCTGGGGATCGAACCGTCCCGAGCAAAGGCTGAAGAGGACACTGAAAGAGTGAGAGAACCCAACCGTTGGACCCAACCTCATCCGCCATTGAAGAATTGCTCAACAAGAGTGATGTTGCAACCGTAGCGTTCTCGCTCCTTTTTTTGGTAGCGATGCCCTCGGAGTTTAACATGTGTTTTACTAGTAATGCCAGGAGCTACGTTCGGTTCGCGTCCTTCATCGCAACAATCCGCAGATATGGTGGGCCATAGGGGTGCCCATTATCCACTCACTTAGGGGCACTCCTTCGGAACTGGTGGACTTCGGACTTCCATCCGTTCAGGGAGTTTGTCGTTTCCACTATGACTAGGACAGTTTGTTGCCCATTGACGACGTCTGGGGATCCCAGAATTGGTGGACACATGACTTGATGGAAGTTCACATACCCAAAGTCACATACCCTGGCAATGCAGCTGTTGTGAGATGCAAAACATCTTTAGGTCTCCAGTGTCTTCAGCTTCGGCTTCGCTTCAGCACCCTCGCCGGATGAAGCGCACCGCCCAGAGAAGGAATTGCATTGCGAAGCGAAAATTCGCGAAGTATCCAGAAACAATTCTTGAATGGAGGAGATCAATATCAACCTTGTTTCCCGATATATCGTCACAATGGTGTTCGTGTCCCAAGAAGGATTCTTTCGGAATGCGTCCGGTTCGGACACCGGTCCGGTGTTCGGGTGTGTGTTCGGGTACCGGTCTGGTGTTGGGGTACCGGTCTTGACCCGTTCCGATGCTTGGAGTCAACAAACAAGCCGCATCTGTCTGAAGTTGGACTGGGCAAGTGGAGCTCCACAAGACAATCGAAACATATGGAACACATTAGGAATAACAAAGAAGGAATCACAAAGAAGCTTCAGCGTGAAATGAGGGCACATTAGACAAAGCACGCAAACACTGTTGTTGAAGTAAACAACCTGTGGACTCGGGTCATGTTTAGCGCGACACACGGCGAGTGGGTCGAGAGGAGGCCCTCAGTCCTCCTGCAGAGGCATCCTGGTTCCGACTTTTTCAACTCCCTCTGACGTGGCAGAACTGACCTTCTTTGGAAGGTCGAGGAGTTCTCCTAAGTTGAACATTGTTAAGAGAGAATCAATGGGAATCATCAATACACGTCTGTGCCATCCACAGGTTACTGTTGCAAAACAAGAGGGCGGACTGCGCCATTTGCAGTGGATCTTTGTGAAGCCAGGCAGCCCGCAATTAAACAATGCGCTGGGAACCTGGCATTTTGACAAGTTTCGCCTGAAAAAAGAACGCACATCGATTGAATGGACGTCTCAGAGGACTTATGCGTGCACCATTATCCACTACAGACAAAAAGACTGCGTTGTTGGTCATGGCATAATGTTAAAGTTGTTGTCATTAGAGCATCCCAGCACTTGAGCTTAGCCAAGTTTATCGATGGACACTCAGTCGATGTGCCTCCCGACTCCTGTCATTGTTGACAGGGGCGCCAGGGGGGTACTCATCCTGTGAGCCAAGAGTTCCAGAAGGAATGGCAGCATCTTATTGCCAGTGGACAAACTGTCTTTTGGACCAAGAGCTGACACCCTTTGCCAACGAAACCGGGACTTAAGCTTAAAATCATGAAAATTGTCACAGTTAGTCGTGTGGTTCGATTGTGCAGAGAGGAGCTTTGGCCAAATCCCCCCGATCTTCGTCAAAATCTGAGACGCTCTTTGACAGGGATGCAAGACGTGGATGGCAAGACTAGATAAAATGTTTAGATGTGTAGATCAATGATGTGTAGATGCAACTCATGTTCAGTGATGTATAGATCAGCCCTGATCAGCCCTACTACCTGATCACTGAGGCGGCCTCTTTTCTGTTTCTTTTCTTTGGTGAGTTCTGATC